ATGTTGGGTCACAATGAAATTTCATGGGAACATGGCATGGGGGGTCAACATGCACCTTCATGGGGGGTCAAAACCAGAGACTTTATTGATTTCATTTTTTTCCCCAATCCCCAAGCCCAAACCAGATTTCCAGTGAGGGTTTTTAGGTTGGAACCAGAAACCTAAGGGGGTTCAGTACCAGAGTTGCCCACAGCAACGTTATGGCTAAACTGCCACCTTGCCATCCCTCAACTCAAGCTCAGTCCCCTCCCCCCCTCTCACACCCAGGCAATTCTGGTTTGTCAAATCTGATCTGACTCAACTCCTGTCAAATCACATTTGACGAATCAGTGCAATCAGATTTGACAAATCAGTCAAATCAGACTTGACAGTCAAAATTCGACAGTCAAATCAGAACTGGCAGTCAAAACATATCTGACACAACTGTCACATTAGATTTGAGAGTACGTTCATACCAGACTCGACAGTCAAAACAGATTTGACAGTCACACCCGATTTGTCACACCTGTCAAATCATATCTGACAAGTCAAATCAGATTTGACAGGAAAGTCAAATCAGATTTGGCAGGAAAGCCAAATCAAAATTGACAGGAAAGCCAAATCATATTTGAGAAAAAAAATCAAATCAAATTTGTCAGGAAAGCCAAATCAGATTTGACAAGTAAGTCAAATCAGATCTGACAGGTAAGTCAAATCAGATCTGACAGGTAAGTCAAATCAGATCTGACACGTGAGTCAAATCTGATCTCAAATCTGATTGGATATGTAAGTCAAATCAGATTCAACAGCTACATCGAATCTTAATTGATAGGTAAGTCACATTAGATTTGACATGTGAGTCAAATCTGATCTGAAATCTGATCTGACACGTATGTCAAATCTGATTTGACAACCAAGTCAAATCTCATTTGACAACCAAGTCAAATCTGATCCGACAACCAAGTCAAATCTCATTTGACAACCAGGTCAAATCTGATCCGACAACCAAGTCAAATCTCATTTGACAACCAGGCCAAATCTGATCCGACAACCAGGCCAAATCTGATCCGACAACCAGGCCAAATCTGATCCGACAACCAGGTCTGATTTGACAAATCTGATTTGACAACCAAGTCATATTCTGATTGACAACCAAGTCACATTCTGATTTGACAACCAAGTCACCTTTTGATTGACAACCAAACAAAACCTGATTCGACAACCAAGTCAAATCTAATTTGCCTCACATACAGGTGTGAGCTATGAGCTCATAGGTGAGCTATGAGCTCACAGGTGAGCTATGAGCTCAGTGGTGAGTGCAATCACACAGCGCCGAAACCGCGTCCTTACCCGTCCCACGTCTGCCTTGTCACCTGCGAGGAGGGAGGGCGCAGGCGCAGTTGAAATGGCGGGGTGAAGCCTTGACGGGCAGAGAGGGAGAGGGAGAGGGAGAGGCATTGCGAGGGGCGGGGGGATGGGACGGAACGCGGGCCTCACCACGAGAGCAACGCCAGCAGCAGCCACGGTGCGCTGCAGCGAAGCCGCTCACTGCGGGCCTCGCGCGTCATGACGCGTCGGCAGAGCTCCATCCGCGCCATGACGCGCCGGCAACGAGCTCCATCCGCGTCCGGATCTACGGCAGCGCAACTGCCGATGCTACTGTCGCTTCCATGCTCGCATTCTAAAAAACATTGGAATAGTAACGCATGAAGAATGCATTGCAGTCCAGAGACCGCCCACACCACACCGATTTCGGTTAGGTGGTGTTTTTTGCGTGGTCAAGCAGCTCGGGCTTCAAGTGGCCTGGGTTCTTAAGAAGGAGTTTGCGAGATACCTAGGGTTGAAAAGAGAAGCGATTGTCGCCCACACCCTCTCAAGCTAGACAAACGTAGCAGATCGCGGGATAAGGCACGTGTGCATACATGCTTGTAATGCGAGATTTCATGAAATCGCATCGCGAAACCCGTCCCTCACGCACTGCAGCACAAAAAAACGGGAAAACGGGGAGGGGGGGGAGGAAGGGGGAGAGAAAACGGTTTAGAACGCTTCCTTTTTCGGCCATCCCACTGCCTTATCCCTCACACACTGCCTGATTTTCCCCCAACTCACTGTGTTTTCCCCAACCCCCAATGACAAGTGGCCGTGGGCGTGGCAGGAGGCGCGGGCGCGGGCCGGGGCCAGGGCACGGGTCGCGGGCCGGTGCCGGGACAGGGGGCACGGGCCGGGGCCGGGGTCGAACTAGGAGGGCGAGGGCCGGGGCCGGAGTCGAACCAGGGGGCGAGGGCTGGGGCCGGGTGCACTGGCGCGGGCCGGGGCCAGGTGCAAGGTTGCGGGCCGGGGCCCAGGGCCGGGGACGGGGCCCAGGGCCGGGGCCGGGGCCCAGGGCCGGGGCCGGGGCAGGGGGTGCGGGCGCTGGCCGGGACCGTGGCCGGGGCAGCGGGCGCGGGCCGGGGCCGGGCCCGGGCCGGGGTCGGGGCCGAGGCAAGGGACGCGGGTCGGGGCTGGGGCAGGGGGCGCGGGCGCTGGCACGGGCTGAGGTTGAGGCCGGGGCCGGGGCCGGGGCCGGGGCAGAGGCAGAGGGCGCGGGCGCGGTCCGGGGTCGGGGTCGGGACCGGGGCCGAATCCGGGGCAGGGGGCGCGGGCGCGGGCGCGGGCACGGGCCGTGGCAAAGGGGGCGGGCTCGTGCCGGAACTGGGGTTGGGGCAGGGGGCGCGGGCGCGGGCCGGGGCCAGGGCAAGGGGCGCGGGCGCGGGCACGGGCCGGGGCCGGGGCCGGGGCAGGGGGCGCGGGCGCTGAAGAGCTTCAGCTTTTTTTGGTTGCGAAGCAACCTATTACGATCGTTATGTAAAAAAAAAAATTTTCGTCCTCTATTGATTTACATTTACATGGAACTATTATATTTCTTCCAATTACTTTGTTGGCCAGACTCTTGGTATGTATGAATTAAGTTCCCCTTTGATGTTATTCTAAACATGCAACTGTATATTCTGTAATGCATACGCAGTAATATTCTGTCGTGCATAAATGAGGTTGGAATGCATGCATAACAATGGATATAGTGAGCCAAATATTGAATGATAATGCTTAAATATGACGTATATGCTATAGTTGTATGAATAGTATATGCTTATATGTACTATACCAATGTTGTGAATACGTAAGATGATTGAAATGCGTGAAAGTTAGTTGACCCATACACTACGCTACCGCATCCCCTGCCTAGCATGGGGGGGGGAGTCAATAGCTTAGCGTATGAATCATCCAACAGTCACATGAAACAACACAATCTGTGTGATTTAAAAAAAAAAATGTCAAATCCATCAAAATTAGTTCGAATGGACACACTCACTGAATGCGCAAAGAACCTTCTCAGAAATGATAGTTTGATCCCAATTTTTAAACCTCACAGACATGTGTTATTAATGCAATAGAAACATGAATGAGAGCACATACACACACAACACAACGCATGCCCACACTAATTAAAGAGACAGTCGCATATTAATACCTTGTTATCTCTCTCACACTCATTGATCTCACGCTCGCGTAAATGTGTACTCGTTTTCATAATCTGTTCAAATGTATAATAATTAACCCATCGAAATTGACTCTATAAACCCATGTGAGCATCTTCTCCGCTGTTCCAAATCGCTCACAGCTTCACCATTGCTGCACAAAAAAGAGGGGGCAATGTTTAAATATAAGAAAAAGTTGATATACATCAATCAAACTACTATTATGATGAGTACATGTAGATAATCACAATAAAAAATGTGCTCACGTCTTGTCTCCTTTTGGCGGGTGTTGACGAAATCGGTGTGCTCAATGTGTCAAAGCTCGTCGGAGCGTCGCTCGACTGCGTGATCGTCGAGATGTCCAAGATGGTCTTGCTCACGCGTGCTCCGTCTGAACGGAAGTGGACTTTCAATAACAATGAACGACACATATATAATAACTTCAGTTAGAGAGCTTTCAATAACAAAAAAAAAAAAAAAAAAAACATTCTGAAGTGCACATTTAACAAGTACCGTAATACCCCGGATATAAGCGCATCTGCGCTTATAATAAAACAGTGTTTTTTAGGGGGGTGCGCTTATAAATGAGTCAAAATTATAAGCGCATGCGCTTATATAATGACAAACACATAAATATGTTATAAACGCACCAAACTGTGCATTAGAGTCTTGCAATTTCATTCAAATCGAAATGTGTGGAGCGTTCTGAATCAGAATCGCGCGAGGGCGATTCTCTGCCTGCGCACAAGGGCAAGGACACGTCACTTTCGCATAGGAATGTGTCATGCTCGCCCCAGCAGAGTGTACGAACCAATAGCTTGCAGTCGCTCGTTCGCATCGCACAGGCTTGCCCCAGTGTACGACCAATAGCCTGCAGTCGCTCGCTCGCAGCGCACAGACAACAGGTGTTCCCGAGCCCCCCTGTCAGGTCAACTTCGCGCCGTTGCGCTTTTCCTGAGCGAGCCCGCCCTCGAGGGAGTCAAACAGACTAGAAGTGGATGTGGACTCGCTTCAAAACGGGAAGTCGTTACTGTTTTAATTCGGTTTTTTTTAAATATGTTTATACATGCGCTTATAATAAATCAGGGTTTTATAAGGGGTGCGCTTATAATTGAGGATCGGCCATAAGCGCATTGCTCCAGATATAAGCGCATGCGCTTAACATAGGCCTGCGCTTATATCCGGGGCCATACGGTAAAAAAAAATCTTAGCAAAGATATTAAAGACTAACAATTGAACTCACATACCTTCACATGCCACTGGCTTCGAAGCGCGTCCAATGCATCTTGCCGCTCGCCCATTGTCATGGAGTGGAAAGCCGAAACCTGAAACCTTGGGAACAGTCGTCCCACGATTTCAGGCTGAATCTCAAAACCCTGAGCCTGCGTCGTGAACGAATATGAGAATGAAACATAGGGAAATTTATATTAAAACAATGCCAATATACTTAAAATTTGTGGAAAATATGGCAGACACCAAAACATAAATGCTAGACATGATGCTTACCACTCTCGTGAACAACAAGAGTCGCTGTCACGTTATCAAACGCGCGGACTGATGTCGCTTTGTGGTCGCGACACCTGTGGACCTCCGAAGCCGCGGAGGTGAAAACATGCATTCCACAAATGGAATCTCCTGCACCAGCAGCGCAGACAACTCGACTATCGTGCACTGGGTCTCTGAGGTCTGTTGCAAGTGTTGCTATCTTCACTTCGTTTGTTACCATCACCAATGTGTCCACATGAGACATCCTGATCATTCAAAACAAAAAATGGCTAATGAATTTAATGTTCGCTAGCAACGACTCACTTGCGCAAATTTTGATAACTTACAAGCTCACAAGACCGACGTCTTGTAGCTCGGTGACTGGTGCATCCGTTGTGACGGATGCTGGAACAGGATCGAGAATGACAATGTCCGAAGACACTGTCGTCGTGAAAACTCCCGATTTGAGATACACGTTGCTGATGAAGACAGGAACATCGCTAGCATCAAAGTGATTTGCAAAATAACTCGCACATCTGGAGTTGATCCTGATGGCGGCATCCCCCGAGCGCTATCAAAGCGCTCTTCATCGTTGAATCATGGATGCCGGCCGTGAACTTTGGGAGCGCGCGGTTCGGCTCGAAAGACGAGATCTTGAACCTGACAGAAATGCAAGGGATCTGGAAATAAAGGAGGTGAATGGTACAACTGAAGTGAAAACATAGAATACATGCAGAGAGACGTACCATGATTGCATATTACAATATGTGGCATGAATGAATTGGGATAAAACAGAAGGCAGAAATGCGTATCACAAATTACAAAAGTAAATGACAACTACAATACAACAATCATACGTAGAAACATTTAAGAGATATCGTCGTAATTCTTACCCTAGACTTATCCTCGCCCCCATAGAAGCTCAAAAGCGTGGGACTAGGCAAGTTTCTCACGTTCAGCCGAGGAGACCCGCTTGCCTCGATCAGGTGTGAGCACCGATGCGTCCAGTTGAGTTGCGTGCGAAGCCCTCCAACCAGAACCCTGTACGTATTCAGTGCATAGGTTGTAAAACTAAAACGTGTAGAATCACATAGAAAAGTCCAAACAAAGCTTACCAAGTGGGGGGTGCGCAAGAACCGACGGTGCGATGGACTTCATAGACTTTCCCAATTGAAAGCCTCATAAAAAAATCATTCATAGTTTCCACATCACATCGATCAGGCCCCCTGGATTGTGGCCACATCACCACCTCTGCCACAGTGAGATCCTCATAAAAAACGTAAACATTTCCAGGTAGAAATTTCGCAACGTTCTTCCCGAAACCATTCTTCTTGCCTATCACCACGATTTTCACATGAAAATCGCTTCGGGTACGTCCTGCTTGAACCTCAGCATCAATCCATTTGAGTTTTACCTCTACAGATTTCTCATATGAAACAGGTTTAACAAGCGAGAATAGCACTAATGAGATACAGAACCATGATAACCACAGTGATAACACAGTATGTATAACGTATAAAGAGACTTACCTCCCCTGATTCGTGCGGAAATGGCAGAGGATCTGTCGAGCACATGTAAAATAACAAAATAATACGTATATTGAAGTAAGATGTTGAACAGAGTGTACAATATGATACGAATGAATATGATGAACTATTGATGTATCATATACAGTGAAGTTGCATACATGTAACACGTATGATGATGAATAATTTGATATAGATGAAATATCGCGATGACGAATTTTTTATGATGTTATTCAACAACAGCTTACACAGGGAAATGGTCATAAAAGTATGTTTCACCAACATATACATTTAGATGTGTTTTGAAACAGTTGTTCCAAATATGATCATTAAGTGTACCATTTACCGTTGTGGGATCAACAATGAATTGCGTGAAACCATGGGGTCTGAAAAAACGCCGATATTTAGTATGCGTACCAGCATTCATATCGACATTGAAATCGCAAAAAAAAAAATGTTACGGTTTGTATGCTTAGAGCGTGTTCCTACATGCCTGTTATCACGGGACCTGATATCAGACTCGGAGGTCCTCGAGGTTTTCGTTATAGAACAGCATTTTGAAGACTGTATCGCGCGACAAAAATTCGCGCGGGAAATTGTTCTGACGTGGCATATCGGCGAACAATCTCGAGTCATCACGCTGCAAATCTTTCTGACGCGATATCGATTTCACGTGCAAACATATCTCTGTTTTGTCGGATGTGGTTTCCTTTTTCAACGCGTGCGGCAGTCGCCAGAAATTTGTTCACAAATGACGGAACGAGTCAATTGAGTAATGTTCACACGTTCCATTTCAAACCTAAATCCACCGAAACTATTTCAGGGCAGAACAAAAACCAGTCATCCAAGCGTTTTTACTCGCACTCCTCAAGCCACGCGAAAATCTCAAATTAAAAGTCGTATTAAGCCGAGATGTAAGTGGTTTGTGCGAGTCTGACTAGAGGTTAGCCTGATAACAGGCCGTAGGAACACGCTCTTAGTAATGATGGATGTGATCATATCAAAAAGGATGTTATGATTACGTTGATTGGTTGGATTACGATAAAAACCCGTAATAATTACATCTTCATCTTTAGCGTTGATGGTAAATGTTAATAATTCGACTTTTGAGTCTTCAACATATTGTACGTTTCTGATTATGATAGTATAAAACAATCCCACCAGATTTACAATCAAAACGAACAATCTTGAAGATGTTGTTCGTCGGATTTGGTAACACATCGTTCTCGCCCAAGTGTGTCTCGAATAGAACCATAAAATCAAGTCCATCAAGACTGCTAATATTAACATCTCTGTAATGCCCCCGAAAACTTCTTACATTTTGAAATGCAAACTCCATCAATGACGATTTTTGAATGATCGTACCAATCGGTATTGGATTTAAAACTATGGGTCTTTCACGTAGACGGCGCATTTCCGCTACTACATGAGAATCGGTTTTGATGCATGCTTCTGAAAAGCTTCGAAGAAACGGTCGAGTAGGACTGCCAAATCGACTCAAAGCAACGTATGCTCCTTGAGAAAAGACTTTGGATTCAGAATGTATGACTCCACTCTCAAAAGTAGCACCTTGACTTCGATGAAAACTTATCGCATTACTTGTTCGCAATGGAAACTGCATTCGAGAATTCGTGTCATATCGAGAATTCACCGAAAATGTTTTCTCGATTCGTTGTATAGGCGTCCAAGATTGTCTTACTCCCACAATCTTAGAAAACAATGATCGGGATTTCAAACGCATGTTACTGCCAACAGATTCTTCGTCAAATTGGATCCATATCATTTCCACCGTGTTGTGTGCATTCAATGTGAAATGAACCGCAACGCCAGGTGTGCCATTAGCAATCACATCTGACGTATCCACATTACAAACCATGTGACCACGCGAGCCGTTAAAAATCTCAAGAATCGAATACAACCCATGTGACGAAGTTGTCGCAAACCCATCAGGGGTAATCGGTTTATCCTTTCTGGATTGACCAGTCCCGAACAACGCGCAATCTAATGCTGGGATTGCGTATTTCTCCTTCAACGAAGATGAAAAAACACCGTGATTAAACGAGTGAATAGCTTTATTAGTGCAACACAAATGTTGCAAACTTGTCTCTCCCCAAGGAATATCAACTTGTCGGTCATATAACAACTGTACGTCCGTAAAAGTTTGAGCCCCTTCACGTAAACGATTTAACAGTTCGGCAAATCTGACCTCTTCGCTTTGCCGCATGATCGTCGTAAGCTCAACAAGTTGTACACGTCTCCAAATGTCTAAATCACATTGTGGAGATAGATTGGTACGATCGTCGAAACAATGGATATCGCGCACAGGAGGTAGTTGGAAAAAATCCCCAACAAAAAAAATGTGCAAACCTCCAAAAAGAGCGTTCGCGTTCGCGACTCGGCTGCAGGGCAGAGCCGGGACGGCGGCGGCGGCTGTCACGGCAGTGGCGGCGGCGGCTGTCTCAGCAGCACCGGCGGCAGCTGTCACGGCAGGAGCGGCGGCGGCTGTGACGACAGCAGCGGCGGCGGCTGTCCCGGCAGCAGCGGCGGCGGCGAACGGCCGTGGCGGAAGCGGCAGCGGCAGCAGGCGCGACGGCAGCTGCTGCTGGGGCTGCAGCGACGGGGCGGCAGGGCGGCTACGGCGGGCCCCGAAGAGCCGCGGAGGGGCCGCGAAGAGCCGCGGAGGGGCCGCGGAGAGGCCGCGACGGGGGCCGCGAAGGGCCGCGAAGGGGCCGTGAAGGGCCGTGAGGGGGCCGCGAAGGGCCGCGAAGGGGCCGCGAAGGGCCGTGAGGGGGGCCGCGAAGGGCCTTAAGAGAGGCCGCGAGGGACCGCTAAGGGGTGGCGACCGGGACCGCGAAGGGGCCGCGAAGGGGGGACCGCTAAGGGGGGGCCGTGAAGGGGCCACTGAGGGGCCGTTAAGGGGCAGGCAACTAAGGGGCCGCGAAATTTTAGGGCAGGACGCGAAGCGCGTCTAGGGCAGGCTAAAAAAATGTTTTCGAAGGTGGGCCCAAGGAAGAAACGGTCCCACTAGGGAACCCGCTCTATACCATGTGAAGAAATGAGGAATGAATGAACTAGGAAAGTGTTGAGTACAAATATGAAACCCTAGAAACTTGTACCCCTTAGTGTCTACTCCACTATAGCCTACACAGAGTAAGTCATATATGTCTGACATAAAATCAATCCATTCGAATGCGTTTCTACCAACCATTGATATTTCGTCGACAATAACAACCCTAACGTCTCCAAGTCTTGATCTTAAAGTATTTAACCTGTCCGAAATCAATTTTTTTATACGACGATTCTGCACGACTGGAATCATTAAAGCGTTATGGATTGTATAACCTTTAATTTGGAAAGCAGCAACTCCTGAAGGGGCTATTTTCAACACTTTGATCGTATTAACGTTCGTGCGAATTTGCGCATGGAATATACGAATTTGTCGATCGTGAACGGTTTTAATCAAAACGGATTTTCCGACTCCGGCACCTCCGCTTACGAATATCGATAAAGGCCCATATTCAAAGGAACGACGCACTCAACGTACAATGTGATCGGCAATTGCTCGTTGCTCCGCATACAACATGCGTTCCATCGATAGATAATCGCTCTCGTTTGTAAGCACCGTATGGAAAATATCAGTGGATCGGACGAATTTGTCAAGCCCAAGTTCGACGCCAATGTCAACATCTTCATTCGGGGATGTTTCATTATCAGGATCGTCGACGTCGTCATCCACATCGATGGCATCTTCTAGTGCACGTATCCACGTGTCTCCATTCATCGAATATTCATTCCTCTTTGTTAAAATAACGTCATTGTTTGCCGCATAGATTTGCGCAACTTCGGTCGATTCACAAACTTCTTGACGAAAAGGAACAAACAATAGTATTTGCTCACGCATATAGTTATCGTTATCGAAATCACTATGGTAGTTAACGTATCGAATGATCTTTCTCTTTGATCTTTTGCGATAAAATCGTCTTTTGGGAGAAATATCAGGACCTATACGAACTTTATCACTTGTTTCGTCATACTCAGATGAGAAATCTGCAAAACAAACGGCCTCCATCGCTATTGGTCGATTCACATATCGATTCAATAAAGCATATGGTGTAAAAATATCATTCGATTGAGGGTCCAAACCTTCTAATTCGGTCTTTGTCTTCAATAATAACAATCGTCTGCGTGGATGATTTGTATTAATGAATACAAAACTACGAGAGGTTTTCTTGTATGGAAGGCTCAAAATAAGATAAATAGCTTCCTGTGCACTAATTTCTTGAGTGTTTAATATGTAGTTTTCAATGTCTCGAAGAACGTGTAAAACACCCGTACCTTGCACAACTGCAAATCTTTTTGCATTCTCAATAATCTTACTTACACCTTTACCTGATTTTGTCATATATGCGGCAATATACGTTGCCACACTATATGGGTCGATACACAATTGAATATCCATATTACCTCGCCAAACAGAAAGTATTATTTTGTTGAAGTTGTTCACGTAACAATCCCGAACATCTCTGGCATGAAAAAGTGTTCGTTTTTTTAGGTCTACACGCAGGCAACTAATATAATCGTCGTATGTTAGGCGGACCGTATCCAAGAATAAGGCAAAAGTTAAGTTGGATGTTTCGATTAAGTGATTTTTCCCAAGAGTGTTTAAGAATTCATCTACTGTCTTTGTATTCGACCTATGTTTTTCCACATCGGTGCAATTTTTGCCAAAGGGCATCAACACCAATGTAGTTGGAAGTGGATATTTAGGTATACCAAAACGACATTTACGCGATGTTCGGTTCTTCTTTATTTTGCACGTTCTCGTATGGTTATGAGTTTGCACTTTCAATAGGTCGTTTGTTAGTGAATCTCCAGCAAGTTCTTGTGCGTGACACGATATATGTTTATCGGCAAATGCAAGAATCTTTTCTAGAGGAATTGCAGCATCGCAAGCTAAAAACTCACTCCATATTAGGCAATGAGTATGAGGGGCTCCTCGATGTTGAACTCGTCGAGAGCAAAATAATCTACAACTCCTCCCAGAATTCCAGTTTTTTTCGTTAGAATCTCGCGAAACAATGCATTCTTTCGTTCGACGTAGTATCGCGCGCTAACTACAGGGTATGTGCGTACGAGCAAAGCTATAGTCTCAAAATCCAAAGGTGGAATTATATTGGTATTTGGAAGATTAGCTAAATTTCCTGAATTTTTGTTATGTTCCAGTAGGATAACGTGCAGGTCGATCCATTTTGTATCGGCAATAGATATCATTAAAAAGAATGTTGGCGGGCCTAACTGACGTATCATTGCAAACAAATCTTTCCTACAATTCTCCAGGTACTGCGGCGACATGCGAAGACTTTTGAACTCGTTGAACAACGTATCTTTTTTTTGTAATAATCTACGTGTATCAATATTCAGCATATCCTTAGCTGAATATTGACCAACATGCTCGATCATTTCTCGTCGCACACGTGTGCCAATTACGTTGTCAATCTGAATCAGTTCTAGCTTAAACATTTTGCCGTAGCATAGTGGAGCAGGTAGAAAATAAGGCACGGGGGGGGGGGGGGGTGGTTGGTGGCGCTTCATGACTCATGGCCAGGCAACAAGACGATATGAGAGCAAGATGAGTCTCACTCGTGGCATAGTGGAGCAGGTAGAAAGTAAGGCACGGGAGGGATGGGTGCTGAGGAGGAAAGAGAAAGAGAGGTGCCAGAATATTTAAAACGGGAGAGAGACAGGAAAAAGGTGTGCTGGGGGCGTGCTGTGCACTCGTGTCTACTGGCCGTAATGCGGCCCGTTGATTTCCCTCAACATTGAAAGCGCAGCACACCAGCACAACGACAACATTGCGAGCCAGCACGGCTCAGGGCGCGAGCACACTCCGCATACCTTGACATCGCAATTCATTAGCACACATTCAGCCCTCCATCACCGCACCCCAGATTTTAGGGTTTAATACACGGGGGGCGGGTTTGGGTCACACCTGACCCAGATTTGGGTCACACCCAACCCCACCCCTAAAGGTGCAGGTCTAATTGGATTGGATAAGCCAAGGTTATCAATCGATGTTGGGTCACCTTTGACCCGCGCCCAGCATGGATGGATAGGCCTCATCCGTGAATCATCCCGCACACAATGCGTGAATCATTTGCACTAACTCACTGCGTTCTGATTGCCCAATCCCGCTTACGCAATCTGCACTGCATGCGCGCACACCGGCACTCACCGCATGAGCGTGTCGCACCCCTCGGACTTGAGCCCTGCGATAGCGCCATCCACATCCTCCACTGCCACCAGCGAGGTGACTAGTGAGACGACTCTAAAGTCACACGGCTCTCACGCAGTCTGCACTACGGGCACACACACAGCACGCAGTCACTGCATGAGTCGATCAAGAGACACACAGCGCAACACTCACCGCATGAGTGTGTGACACCCCTCCGACTTGAGCCCTGCGATGGCCCCATCCACATCCTCCACTGCCAGCCCGACAAGTTTTGAGTCCACTCTACAACCACCTGGCACTCACCCGCACAGCAGGGCAAGGAATGGCACCGCACACACTACTCACCACATGAGTGTGTCGTGTCGCACCCCTCCGACTTGAGCCCTGCAATGGTCCCATCCACATCCTCCACCGCCACCAGCGCGCTGACTCATGAACCGACTCAAAAGCCGCACGGTACTTACACAGTCTGCTTTACGGGCACACAGGACGCAGTCACCACATGATTGTGTCACACCCCTCCGACTCTAGCCCTGCAATGGCCCCATCCGCATCCTCCACCGCCACTAGCGAACTGCCTCTTGAATCGACTCATAAGGCACACGGTACTCACCCCGCACAGCAGGACAAAGAATGGCAGCACACAGCACACATGGCACTCACCGCATGAGAGTATCGCACCCCTCCGACTTGAGCCCTGCAATGGCCCCATCCACGTCTTCCACTGCCACCAGCGCCCGCTGCACCACCTCCCAGTTGGCATTCTGGCCGGAGGGCACGGAATGGAAGGGATTCAGTGAATGAGCTTTGAGCGCCTAAAAAAATGGCTTCCGCTAAACCACCTCTCAACAGGCATCCTCCACAGCAACCCGCCCACACAGTACAGGACGGAGTGGCACACAAAAGCCCAGCACGACACGAAGTGGGATTCAGAAAATGACTTTTGAGTGCCTCAAAAGCACTGCGATCAGCGCCCGCTGCACCACCTCCAAGTTGGCATCCTGCCCAGCAATGAGTGCAAAGTGCGAAGGAAATGGAAGGGATTTAGTGAAGGCAACGAAGTTTGGGGTGGATGAATTCTACGAAGGATTATACGCTTTGGACCCTTTGCGTTTAGCGTTTCTACGCTAGCGTATACACTCAAAACACAAAACGCTAGCGAAAACGCAATACGCGACCCATAATTTTTTCAGGGCAGCCCGCCGACCCAAAAAATTTCGAATAGCTCAAAAGCTTCGGAATTGCACGACGAGCACTTCTGCGAAGTCAGATTGCACGTCCGGTGTGTGTCCTGGCTGGAAAGTGGGTTCAATGTCCTGGAGTCGCGATTTCCACCACAACATTGTGCACGTTCATAATGCCAATGTCAAGTGTATGGAGTCCCGCTGTCACGTAATCACATTTTAAGCCCACCACTTCACCGCATTCAATCCCACACCATCTATCCAGTCCAACCACTCGTCCCTTCAATCCCGTCACTCAGCATGCTATTTAGCAACTACTCAAAATGTCAATGTCATTCGTTTTTCAACTCTCGCTACCTACTTAGCATCCATTCGCGACAATGTCCAGCTCTCCACCTCTCACGCCGCCTTCCGTCCAAACTGTGGAGAGTTCGGGGCCTGGTCCGCCTGCGTCAAGGGAATACCTTCCCGATGTTGAACACGAGGTGTTTAAGCACTTCAGTATCATCAAGCGGGAGGAGGGCAAGGCACAGCAGTACGAGTGCAAATACTGCTTCAATGTGTTCTCTGGTGCCGCCATCCGTTGCGCTCAGCACCTGACGTCATGGAAGAAGATGAAGCGCCGTGAGGTGTCACTTTGCAAGGAGGCACTGGCTGATGTTCGCCACGCGATGAAGACCAAGTACGAGAAGAAGGCTGCTGATGCAGAGGAGAGGCGGAGATCGACTGAGGCTGCGATTGCCGCGGTGAAACCCTGTGGGAAGCGGGCCCGCATTACCGACTATCTCGAGGGCGACGCAGCAGCGAAAAAGCGCGAAGCACATTTGTCGCTGGCGCTGATGTTTGCGGGATGTCACATCCCGGAGCAGATCGTCGACCATCCTCTCTTCGTCAACGCAATCAGAGACGTCGCCCGCGCCGGCGACGGTTATGTTCCTCCAGTGCGGAAGTTCATCGGCGGTACCGGTCTGCAAGCATGCCGCCGTGGCATTGAAAGCGGGTTGGTGGGCATCAAGGCAAGCTGGAAGAGGACAGGAGTTACCCTTGCGTCCGACATGATGACGGACAGAAACGGGAGGCCGCAGGCAAATGTGTTCCTCGTGAATGACGTGGCCGCCGTGTTGGTCCAGTGCGTGGACTGCAACATGGAGAAGAAGACAGGGGGGTACATTGCGGGGTTACTGAAGCACGTGATCGAGGAGGTGGGGCCAGAGAACATCGTGGCTATTTGTACGGACGGGGGCTCCAATTACGCGGTAGCGTGCCAGCAGTTGATTGCTGAATGGCCCCACATTCAGCATGTTCCGTGTGCGACCCACGTGTTGGATCTGCTCATGGAAGATGTGGGGAAGCTTGGGTGGGCGAAAAAGGTGGTGGATCGGACTACGGAGATGTCTTCCTTCGTCCGCAACCACCACTGGACGCGGGGGTACTTGCGGACACCGGAGATGGTCGGGGGGGCCGTGAAGCAGGCCTTGAAGCCAGCGGGAACCCGCTTCGGGACCCGCATGTGTGAGCTCCGTAACTCCCTTACCCAGATGGTGCTCTCCGACCTGTGGAAAGAGTGGGCTGTGGGAGAGCGGAAGAAGGCTGCGGAGGGGTTTGCCGCGCACGTACTTGACGCGGCTTGGTGGAAGACTGCAGAATTCTTCGCGAAGCTCATGAAGCTCCCATACATGGCAATGCGGCGGACGGATGGGGGCGCTAAGGGGATGATGGGGCGCATGTATGGCATCATGCTCCAACTTACCGAGGATGTGGAGGCCATTGTTGACGCGGATGAGGAGCATTTGTCCAACACCGACAAGCAGCAGATCCGCCGCATCCTGAAAAACATGTGGGACGGGAGTCTTGCGTGCGCCATGCACGTGGCGGGACGCATCCTCAACCCCGCCAACCAAGAGGAGGATATATTCGGCGGGGATGCCGAATGCACGCGGGTCTTCAAGGCTTTTATCTCCAGCCATGCGGAGTTCCTCAACAGCAGGGGTGGGAACGAGGGGGATGATGAGTGCGACTACCTGCTCACCTTGGGGAACCAGTTGAGGTCTTTTCTCGATCTGAAAGGGAGTTTTGGAGCCCCTGACGCTATTGCACAGTGGGAGAAGGTAAAGGCGGGCACTTACAGCATGGTCAATTGGTGGCAGTGGAACGGAACAGATGCGCCCCAGCTGTCGGCGCTCGCCGTACAGACTCTCTCGCAGCCTGTCTCGGCATCTCCCTGTGAGCGTGGTTGGTCGTCGTGGGAATCAGTCCACACTGCCCGCCGCAACCGCCTAGGATCCGCGAAATGCGCGGATGTGGTGTACGTCACTCACAACTGGAACGTTGTGCGTGGATGGCACACGCGCGATGATGTGATGCGATCAGTTGTGCGCGGGAACGAGGTGGAGCCGCCCATCCCCGCTGGCTACAACATCTCGGATGAGATGGAGGAGGAGGAAGGTGAGGACGAGGTCTTGGCGGACGAGTATGAGTAGTAGAGTGAGTATGGGGCCAAGAAGGGGGTTACTGATGGTGGTAGAGTAGAGAAGATAGTAGTGAGTCACATTGATGTTCTATGTATGGCCGTGGTAAATTTTTAATATGGGCGAAAAAAATCTGCAGAAGCACATACCACCAAAACCCCCCCTTGCTGCATTCCCGGAGGGTTTTTTTGCCCTGCCCTGGAAAGTTTTTTACTTGCCCGGAAAAGCGTATCCTTGATCAGACCCCCCTTGCGTATAGCGTGCAAACACTAGCGTATATACGACACGCGTATATGCGCTATAAGCGTATAATCCATCATAGGATGAACTCCCGCTGCACCACCTCCCAGTTGGCATCCTGCCCACCAATCACCGGCACAGCAGGGCAAAGAGCGGAATGAAATGGAGGGGACTTGGTGAAGGCCACAGAAGCTGGGGCAGATGAAATCCCGCGGCACCACCTCCCAGTTGGCGTCCTGCCCGCCCCTCACCGGCACAGCACGGCACGTAGTGGCACGGAATAAAAGGGAATGTGTGGATGAGTCACGAAAGGATGACAGAGATTTCAGCTGCACTGGGGGACCACGTTGGGTTGGGATGCATGTGTGCCAACACGCTAGGGGACGCGCCTGTCGTATGCTTGAGTTGAGATTTGGAGGGGGTGGGGCAGTCTAAGCAAATGGAAACATGGGCAAAACGGGGCAAAGGGTAACAAATGAACCCCGTATTTCCCCCCACCTCACTCCTTTCCCCGCCGCTCTTCTCCCCTTCTCCACCCTGCGTGAGCACAATTTGGCTGCCTAAGCGTGTTGCATCCAAATTGCACGTATTTCATATGCACGCATCATTTTGAGTAACCCTAAAGTTTGTTGCACCTACTAGTGTATCCGAGCCCTAGTTCCAGCGCACCTCCTCCCCTCTCCCCCTACCCTCCCACCGCACCTTGCATTTCTGGTCGCGCGTGGCGATGGATGGGTCGCTCACAGCCGCCTTGAGCGCCTCTGGCACTCAACCCCTGCAGCGCAGGCCGCGTGCACCCGAGAGAGTGGGGAGAAGGGAGGGGGACGGGAGGTGAGGGGGGAGGAAGGTGGGGGACAAGTGCACCATCACGCTCACAGCCGCCTTGAGCGCCTCTGGCACTCGACCCCTGCAGGCCTCGCGCACGCGAGGAGGGGAGAGTGGGGAAGGGGGAACGAGGATGGGCAAAGGGGGTGGCGATGGGCGGATCCCTCATGGCTGCCTCGATTTCCTCTGGGAATCAACCCCTGAAGGTCAGGCCCCGTGCACCCGACCCGAGGGGGTGGGGAGAGGGGGAGTTGGGGGGGTGAAGGCAGGGCAGGAGAGGGGGTGGCTATGGGTGGGTCGTTCGTGGCCGCCTTGAGTGCCTCTAATATTTGACCCCGGCAGGGAAGACCCCGTGCATCGGGGGAAAGGGGGAGGGGGACGGGGGAAGGGGGAAAGGGGCGGGGAAAGGAGGGGGGTCGGGGACGAGCACACCATCACAGTGACGCGTGGGAGAAATCAGGGGCATCCCGTATGGAGGGAGAGAGAGGGGCGGATGGAGGAAGAGAGAGGGTGAATGGAGGGAGAGAGAGGGTGAATGGAGGGAGCAAGAGGGTGAATGGATGGAGCGAGAGGGTGAATGGAGGGAGCGAGAGGGTGAATGGAGAGAGCGAGAGGGTGAATGGATGGAGCGAGAGGGTGAATGGAGGGAGCGAGAGGGTGAATGGAGAGAGCGAGAGGGTGAACGGATGGAGCGAGAGGGTGAATGGAGGGAGCGAGAGGGTGAATGGAGGGAGCGAGAGGGTGAACGGAGGGAGCGAGAGGGTGAACGGAGGGAGCGAGAGGGTGAATGGAGGGAGCGAGAGGGTGAATGGAGGGAACGAGAGGGTGAATGGAGGGAGCGAGAGGGTGAACGGAGGGAGCGAGAGGGTGAACGGAGGGAGCGAGAGGGTGAATGGAGGGAGCGAGAGGCGAATGGAGGGAGAGAGAGGGCCGAATGGAGGGAGCGAGAGGGATGCAGGGAGTGAGGGGCGAATGGAGGGAGCAGAAGGGCGTATGGAGGGAGCAAGAGGGGCGAATGCACGGGCCGCGGTGGGACGAGGGGCGAGTGAGTGAGAGGGCGAATGCAGGTAGGGATAGGGGCTAATGCAGGGAGCGAGAGGGGCGAATGCACGGGACGAGGAGGGACGAGCGGGGACGTGGGGGGTGAGTGATCTAACGCTGGGCGACGCGGAAGGAGCGGCTCACTCGGACAGGAAGTGCGCGACGCGCTGCGAGCGGTCGTCTATCTTGGCGAGAATCTCCTCGGGGCTCTCCGCGTCGGCGTCGTCGTCCGACCCCATCGTCAGCTCCTCCTCCTCCGCCATCCCCGCCACTCCCTGCTACGCCCCGCTGCCCGCTGCCCGCTGTCCGCTGCCCGCTGCACGCCCGCCCAGGTATGTCCCGCTGTCGCCACCCGCTCCACTACGCGCTGCGTTCCGCTGCCCGCCACACACCTGCCACCACCCGCTGGCCCCCCTGAGTGCCGCTACGAGGCCGCGACTGTGTAGCCGGGACTGTGAGGCTCAAGTGGGTAGTTCGCCGCTGCCCCTGTGCCTTCCGGCCTCAGCAATTAGCCTAGAGGTGGTAAAGCAACACTAGAAGCAGTGGGGAAGGCTCACCTATTGTTCAGAGCTACGCTGAAAAATACAAGAATCAGGGAAGGAATGTGTGAAGGACGGGATGGAGGAAACTAGGGTTCGCCAAATGAATTCCAAATGCCAAACCAGTTTCCCGTGCGGAGGTGGCGGGTCAGTTTCGTTTGATGTCGGTTACCGATTTCGTTTCAAGTGCGACTGAAGGAGAACTGCGACAGACGCGTTACGCGATCGCACAACACAACTTGGTTTTCCCATAAGTTGTTTGAGTGAAGAACATTGCATGAAATATGTAAAGACTGCTCCGTGTAGTAATCATAGCATATTATTTCGATTGAGTAGGCCCTAATTACAAGGCTTTGCTGATATTATATATATATTTTCCAGTTGGCAAGTACGTGCGCATGTATCATGATCATGAATGCATTTCCTTTTTAAGAAGCACCATCAACCAACTTTATTCAAAGCACTAGCAACAGAATCTCGAAACGTAAAATCCAGAACCTTCCCATCTTCCACCACCTCTCCCTCCTTCAGAGGCCCCTCCTTCACATCCCTACATCGCACATTGACAGGCTTCCTCACAGGAAGCCCTTGGAAATGCATCAGCTTCGGCAAAGGCTCGGCAAACGAGGCATTCCAGTCCACTCCATACGCATCCCAAGGTTCCTCCACGCGGTGCACTGATACCATGTTCACCCTCCTCGGATCCACCACTTGCTTCCGCCTCCCCTGCGCTCCCGGGCACACCAACGCCTTCGCTCGGTCAGAACAGCTAGGCATCTCAGCCCTCCAGGGCAGATGCTCCACTAAAAGCTGCGACTCGTTAGTGGCATTGCCGTGGTGTGGCTGGCTGCAGGTGTTGATGCTGTGCATATATGATCCCATACTGGCCCATGACGCGTTGCTCGGCAGGTGGTCAAGCCACGAGAGGAAGGTGGCGGGTGGTGGCGTGAAGATGTACTCATCGAGGTCCGTGTAGAGCAGCCACCTGGCGATGGGGAGTGGGGATTTAAGAGGTTCGGGGGCAGAGGGGGGTGTGAAGCGGACGGGTGAGAGGCATGAAGATGTACTTGTCCAGGTCCGTGTTGAGCAGCCAAAGGGGGTGGAGGGGGTGAGGGAAGGGGAAGTGAGGGGCCAGGGGAGGGGGAGACGAGGAAAGGGGAGTAGGGGGGTGGGTGAGACAGGGCAAGGCATGGCGGGTGAAGTGAGAAAGACAGGAAGAGCAAAGAGAGTGTGGCAACGAGGATGGAGCCAGAAGGCAGAAAACAAGAAACAAGGCCATGTGGTGTGGGATGGTGATACCAACTAGGGCAGAACACGCAGGTGGGAGAGCTCACTTGGTGAGGAATCTCGAGCGATACAGACAGTCGTTCTGGTTCATAATCTGATGCGAATAGTACGACACGAAGTGCCTTCCACCCTTCATCCTCGTTACGGTCACCACCCCTGTCTCCTCATAAGGCGCCACCACTGCTGCTGTATCATTATCCACGGTGAGCCCTCCGTGGTCATAGAAAAAAAACTTCTCCACGCCCACAACCCTATGGTGGTACCGAATCCAATCCCCCAGTGCCCGCGGATCGATATGACCAAAGAGTGACCCGCTGCAGTGGGTCAGGTTGTACTTAAGGGGGTGTCCAGCTCGTTCATTTACTGTTCGTAAAGCCCTTCAGTTACCAGATTTTGCGTTGTAACACTGAATTTCACAAAAATGCCAGACACGATCAGCTCCCGTTCACGATACGGCACACCCCCTGCACGTACCTCGAATCGTGTGACGCACGTTACAGAAATCAACGTGCGCATCGAACAATGGTACAGAACCGCGTCCTGCCCACTACAGTGAGTGCCCATCGTATCGCGCGCTCGATTTCGCCAGTGCAGCCTGACACTCGCCAAAACCAGTAGTGGAAGTGTTGGCTTGGCGAAAATTCCAATGCTTTGGTTGACGAGGGAACCGGTTACCTCGTTTCAATAGGCCACTGCACTGTTGAAGTCTGTGTGGGGGGAATGTGTCCGCGCGCTAGAATTGACAAAAAGGGTGGACTCGACGCAGGTCGTATTCGTTTATAGGTACAGTGATCAGTTTTGAACCCCGGATCGTGAGGAGGTACTAAATTTCCCGAAATGAACGAGCTGGACACGCCCTAAGCGGGGATGTGACTATATCGAAGCCACCGGGCTTCTCCCGGAAGACGGGCATGGGCGCAGTGTGCAGGGTGAGGGGGGAGGCGCCGTGGACGTCGAAGCCCACGGCATGGGCGTGCTCGTGGGCGATGCTGCGGCGCTGCCGCTGCTCCTCTGAGCGCTTGCGAACTGACAGCACGCCGCCTCTGCTGTTGCTGCCCACTGAAGCGTTGAAGGCGCAGCGGATGAGCAGCGCGCCCCAGGGGAGGGAGATGTGCTCCGAGGGGCGCAGCTGGTGGTGGTGGAGAGAAGGGGAAGTAGGAGAGAGGAGCAGAAATGGGGAAGAGGATTGAGGTGGCGCGCGTGATATCACTTAGATGAGCAGCGCGCCCCAGGAGATGGAGATGATGGGTGACCGGCAAAATTCAAGGACGGTGGTCTTCTTTATGTGCATGCATAGGCCAACGTGAGAGAGTAGCACCGTCATTTCCAGCACAAATTCATTACAGCACACAGAATCTGGTGCGAGTTATATAATCCTTTCCTTGCTAACCTTCAATGCGAACAAGGATATGAAGAAGCAGGGGCTCACAAAATTCTTCAAACTGGGCGATGCGAACAATGCACAGAAGAAGGCTCAGGTCGGCAGCAACAATTATATGAATCTCATCTCAAACTCGCGTGCATGCCCATGACACTCACATGCATGCCCATGACACTCACATGCATGCCCATGACACTCACATGCATGCCCATGACACTCACATGCATGCCCATGCCACTCACATGCATGCCCATGCCACTCACATGCATGCCCATGACACTCACATGCATGCCCATGACACTCACATGCACGCCCATGACACTCACATGCAAGGTCTCTGCTGGGACAACAACTGGAGGCTCCTTTCCCCCCCTTCGCTGTCCCCCTCGCCCTGCCACACACACCCGTCCACCATCGTGCCTGCGAAGTGCAGCTGAGCGCCCAGCAGCGACTCACATGCCACTCACATGCATGCCAACCACATACCACTCACATGCAAGGTCTCTGCTGGCGCAACGATCGGAGGTCCTTTATCTTCCCCGTCCCCCTCCCCCGCGCCCTGCCACACGCACTCGTCCACAAGCGCGCCAGCAAAGTGCAGCTGTGCGCCCAGCAGCGACTCGCCCACCACCATGAAGCTGGGGAGCAGCACAGAGCACGCATGGGAGGGGAGGGAGAGCAACGAGGATTGTTTCACAGATAATAATGTGTGTACGCGCGCACCCAGCAGCGACTCGCCCACCACCATGAAGCTACCCAGCAGCAGCACACATGGAAATGCGAGGGAGAGGAAGGAGCAACGTTTGATTATCCAACGTAATGGGTGAGATGGTTTGAATGGTCGAAGTGCAGCTGAGCGGCCAGCAGCGAGTCGCCCACCTGAAGCTGGGCCGCAGCACGAAGCATGTATGGGAGGGGAGGGGGAGCAACGAGGATTGTTTCACGGATAACAATGTGTGTACGCCCAGCAGTGACTCGCCCGCCACCACGAAGCCGACCAGCAGAAACACGCATGCAACCAGAGAGAGGGGGGAGCAGAGAGAGGGAAGAGGGGGATGCAGCTTAGCACCCAGCAGCGACTCGCCCGCCACCACGAAGCTGCCCACACACGCATGGGAGGGGGGAGAGAGGAACGTGGACGGTGGTTTGCTTTATTGAACGGTTTGAACGGTTTGAACGGTTTGAATGGTTCAACTTGCAGCTGTGCCCCCAGCAGCGACTCGCCCACTGCCACGAAGCTGCCATGCACGTATGGGATGGGGGGTAGGGCAACGTGGAACATTTTGATGGAAAATTGTGTAGGGGAAGGGGGGAGGGGGAGAGGAGGGAGGAGGGGTGGGGAGGGTGGGGGAGGGACGTCCGTGCGTGTGCACGTGTATACTTCCCTTCCCCCTCTCCCTCCTCGCACGTGCATGGCACGTGTTCCTTTCAGTTAAAAAAGGGAGACGACGAGATTCGGGGAGAGTGGATGAAGTGAGGTGGTGGTGTGGTGTGGGATGGCACGAACAGAAGCAGACGGGAAGGTGCGTGCGGTGTGCAAAGCACAGAGGGACAAGGGTTCTTAAAAGGGGGACGGAGGCTCGTCTGCCGCACTGCACGACGCTAGCAAGGCAAAACACTTTCATTCCAACCAGCTCGGCTCAGCGCGCTCACCTCTTCCCGCCCAATTTTTTAGGCGCCTCAAAAAGCCCCTCACCTGTCTTCCCTCGCACAGTGTCTTACACTTGCCCCACCTGTCCTCGCCGAAGGTGCCTTACCTGGCCTCGCTGGTGCAGTAAGTGCTGCTGACGACAGCAAACAGCTTGAGGCTCGTCTGCACGCTCAGCGCGCCTCACCTGTCGTCCCACACCTGTTGTGTGCCGTGCTCCACCTTTGACCTGGCCTCGCAAGTGCCCCACCTGGCCTCGCAAGTGCCCCACCTGGCCTCGCAAGTGCCCCACCCAGCCTCGCAAGCGCCCCACCTGGCCTCGCAAGTGCCCCACCTGGCCTCGCAAGTGCCCCACCTGGCCTCGCAAGTGCCCCACCTGGCCTCGCCGGTGCCCCACCTGCCCTTGCCTTGCCCCACCTGGCCTTGCCTTGCCCCACCTGGCCTCGCCAGTGCGGTAAGTGCTGACAACTGCAAACAGGCTGATGCTCGTCGGGTGCACTCGGAACGCGTGGTTCTCGCCCCACGTCGCCTCCGCCTCGCCTCCCCCCTCCGCTCCGTTGCTCCCTGCTCCACCACCGCTTCTCGCACCCTCTTCCCCCAGCCCACTGTCGCCAGGGCCACTGTCGCTGGCGGGGCACGCGGGGCACTCGCACACGGGAGGAGGTAGTAGCGGTGGGGGCGCGGCGGACGGAATCTCCGCGAGGTCCCGCCGACGACTCGCGCTCGCCGCCACATGGCCACTCTCAGGGAGGCCGCTGCTGACGTTATGATACGGGCGGCCGTCGGGCCATTCGAGGCGCAGTGAGAAGTGCACACGTGGCAGGGAAAGGCGCGAACACGTGGCGAGGACGAGGAAAATCGGCACGAAGAGGGTGAGCGAGGCGAAGAGGCGGCGGCGGGTGCGAGACGAGGAGGGACTCCGCATCGCTTGATTCGCGAGGGGGGGCCCACGACCTTCCCACGACCTTCAACGGCGCGCGGATTTGCGAGGGAGGGCCCGAAGGAGGCGGCAAAGAGAAGACAAGGCTGCGGTAGATTGGGCTCATGCACGCATCGGAACGCGCACGCTGTGGCGCTGCGCTGCACGTCAGGCTGGCTGGTGCACGTCACTGGCTGCGCGGTGCGGCACGTCAGGGCTTAGCCGATTGCGCGGTGGGCAAGGTGGCTGTGGCTCGCTGTTGCGCGGAAGAAACAAGCAACTGCGCTAGATCCTCGCCCAACGGAACGCGGGTGATGCTGGGAGTGATCGGTGCGAGCTCCGTGGGAGGGACGACATGCGCCGTGCTGCACGCGAGCACTGCGGCGGCCCTCATCTGTCGAGCTCCCCAGCCCCGCGTTTCAGAGCGGCCAGAGCTTGCACACCTACATGCGCGCGCAGCACGGGGGAGGTGCTTGCAGCAAAGAGGACAATTCAGCTGACAGCCCTATGCACATGTGCCATCTGGTCGGTTTCGCTCACCATTCCAGCAGCACGCATTGAACCCTGCGCGACGGTCCAAGAGCGATTTGTAAAACCTAGGATTACAGAACGATGATGGTGGGAGAAGAAGGCGTGCAGCAGCAGCAGTTTCAGTTGGCAATCGAGTCTACTGCGTAGCAGTTGTGCCCTGCAAAAGACTGAGCGACATGAATGTTGCTTCGCTAACGGCTGAACTCAAGATTGCCTAATTCATCTGATTAGTTAATAAAACACTCTGTAATACATTACTGAAAAGATAACGGTCAGGTGTTATTTAGTGAATAACATACATATTTTACAACGGAATAGTGGTACAAGAGAATACATCGCAAAATTAGAAGAATAAATGGGTATGAATAATCAAAATCAATGTACCGTACCAGTACAACAACCGCTATGGTACTGTATCTGAATATCAAGTTGAAAGCTAGTGTTTGATACAGGTGCATTCTTCAGAAAACGTTTCTCAAAAGGAGGCTCACAAAACTTGTAGTTGAAGAATACATTGAATGGTCATACTTACCGTAACCAGTGTATACTAGACAATGCCGGCCACAGTAGGGTAGGCATAATCTAGCGTACCCTGAAAGTTGGGTTCTTCCGTGGCTTATGGGATGCGAGTCAGGGTAGTGCAGAACAAAATCTCCTACAATATGTCATCCAAGGTTACACAAGCTCTGCTGCTCTTACAAAAGCATGGGGGCAGGGCGGGGCAGAGCAAGGGGATACAGCAGATGAAGGGGATGGGGCGGAGCAAGGGGCGCAAGGAGGAGCATGGGTTGAGCGAGGGTAATCAAGGGAAGTAAATGAGACACAGTTGCATCCAGCATGTGACTTGCGAGTGTGACACACATGTGCTTTATGTTCGGACGTGCTTTCCCCATGCAACCCTTCACTGCATCCCACACCACAGACCCCTCCACAAGAGCTCAAATCATCCCTGCTCTCACCTTACCATATCTTCGCCTTTCGCCACTCCTCTTCTCTAGCAGCCCAATCTCGCCCTCGTCTCGTTCACGGCCTCCCTCACCCCCGTGTGCCTCGTCTCCTGCCGTGCCTGCACCACCCCCTCCTCCCTTTCCTCCACTTCCTCCTCTCGCTCGTCTCCCTACTCTCCCTTCCTCCTCTCCCTCCTCCCCCTCATCTCCTTCTCCCTTTTCCGTTCTCAGCTCATCTCCCTTGCGACCTCATCAGCCCTCCCTCGTCCATGCCCCTTTCCTCCCTGCCCTTACCTAGCCTACCGCATCTTTCCCAATCTCCTCGCTCTCTCTTCCGATCCCTCCCCATCTCCCCCACCTCCGCCACTTCTTGCATTCACCACACCATCCCCCGTCCCTCTCTCCATCTCTTCGGCCAATCGCCCTCCCCCACTTGCCCTTCCTCCTCCACTGCCTGCATCCGCATGCCCCCCACCATGATCCTCATGGCCCCCCATGTGCCCCCCCACGTTGCCCCCCACATGCCCCCGATCACTCCCTCAAGCTCCTCCGCCAGCCCTGCCACCAGATCATCCAAACTCATCTCCTCCACCCCTTCCTTCTCCGCCCCCACCCCCTCCTCCCCTGCCTTCCCCACCTTCTCCCCCTCCTTCCCCGCTGCCTGCATCCCTCCCCTGCCCCCCACCGCCCACATCTCCCCCCACATGCCCCCCGCCACCCCCATCTCCCTCTCAAGCTCCTCCGCCAGCCCGGCAACCAGATCATCCAAACTCATCCCCTCCTCCTCCCCCACTGCCTGCATCCGCGTGCCCCCCACCACCCCCCTCATGCCCCCCCACGTGCCCCCCACCGGCCCCATGCCCCTCACCACCACCCCCATGGCCCCCGTCGCCCCCCACGTGCCCCCCACCGCCCCCCACGTGCCCCCCACCGCCCCCCATCTCTCTCTCAAGTTCCTCCGCCAGCCCTGCCACCAGATCATCCAAACTCATCTCCTCCGCCCCTTCCTCCCCCGCCCCCTCCCCTTCTTCCCCGTCCCCCCCATCCCCTCCCCAATCCTCCTCCCCCCCTCCCCCATGTCCTCTTCCCCCTCCCCCAGCGCCCCTGTGCATGTGCGCTTCGGCAGCAGCGGCGGCTGCTCTGACGGCGGGAGGCGCGTTCGCCTGCGCAAAGATTTCCATCATGCTCGCCTCGTCCACCTGTTGGGAATGGGCCATGGGGGGCATGGTGGAGGGATGGGAGGGGCGTTTGCCTGCGCAAAGATTTCCATCATGCTCGCCTCGTCCACCTGTTGGGAATGGGCCATGGGGGGCATGGTGGAGGGATGGGAGGGGCGTTTGCCTGCGCAAAGATTTCCATCATGCTCGCCTCGTCCACCTGTTGGGAATGGGCCATGGGGGGCATGGTGGAGGGATGGGAGGGGCGTTTGCCTGCGCAAAGATTTCCATCATGCTCGCCTCGTCCACCTGTTGGGAATGGGCCATGGGGGGCATGGTGGAGGGATGGGAGGGGCGTTTGCCTGCGCAAAGATTTCCATCATGCTCGCCTCGTCCACCTGTTGGGAATGGGCTATGGGGGGCATGGTGGAGGGATGGGAGGGGCGTTTGCCTGCGCAAAGATTTCCATCATGCTCGCCTCGTCCACCTGTTGGGAATGGGCCATGGGGGGCATGGTGGAGGGATGGGAGGGGCGTTTGCCTGCGCAAAGATTTCCATCATGCTCGCCTCGTCCACCTGTTGGGAATGGGCCATGGGGGGCATGGTGGAGGGATGGGAGGGGCGTTTGCCTGCGCAAAGATTTCCATCATGCTCGCCTCGTCCACCTGTTGGGAATGGGCCATGGGGGGCATGGTGGAGGGATGGGAGGGGCGTTTGCCTGCGCAAAGATTTCCATCATGCTCGCCTCGTCCACCTGTTGGGAATGGGCCATGGGGGGCATGGTGGAGGGATGGGAGGGGCGTTTGCCTGCGCAAAGATTTCCATCATGCTCGCCTCGTCCACCTGTTGGGAATGGGCCATGGGGGGCATGGTGGAGGGATGGGAGGGGCGTTTGCCTGCGCAAAGATTTCCATCATGCTCGCCTCGTCCACCTGTTGGGAATGGGCCATGGGGGGCATGGTGGAGGGATGGAAGGGGCGTTTGCCTGCGCAAAGATTTCCATCATGCTCGCCCCATCCACCTGCCCACACGAGAACGAGGCATGGCATGGCATGGGGCCATGGCAGAGGCATGCAAAGGTCACTAGTAGCAGACGCAGTTATTAAGCGCACATAGCTTGTATGGAGCGTTCCAGCTACATGCCATGCTGCTTCTGTGGTACTCCTCACCACCACGCACCACCTCATCATCCCATCCACCCACCCACCCACCCACCCACCCACCCACCCACCACCACCACACACCCCCTACGCCCACCTGCAGCACGTGCAGCTTGTCTCGAATGGCCTGCTTCAGCGCCGCTAGGCCTGCTTATGGGGTACTCATGAGGTACTTATCACCACCACCACCCCATGACCCCAACCCCCCCACCTCCCCACCACCCTGGCACCCCATGCTACCCCGCACCACGCCACCACCACCCCATGCTCCCCCACAACCCCACCTGCAGCACGTGCAGCTTGTCTCGAATGGCCTGCTTCAGCGCCGCTATCGCCGCCACCTCCTCCCTCAGCGCCCTGCCATGGGCGGAGGTGGATGCGCGGAGGTGAATGGGCGGAGCGGAGGTGAATGGGCGAAGGTGAACGGGCGGAGGTGAATGGGCGGAGGTGAATGGGCGGAGGTGGATGCGCGGAGGTGCATGGGCGGAGGTGGATGCGCGGAGGTGAATGGGCGGACAACTTCAGATGGAGCACCAGGAAACACCATCTCAATGACGGGATTCACGCCCATCCACAGACAGCGGAGCGGGATGAACACCGTTCACCCGCACTGCTTCCCTCATCTCTCCTCACCAGCTTGCTCCTCCTCCCGTCCCTTCCTCACCTTATCTCCTTCCCCCCCCCCGGATCCCATCCCCCCGTCTCCACTCGGCTCGCCTCACCGGAGGAGCACGTCGGTGGGTACATCAGCCATCGCAGAGGGATCGCAGAGGGTCGCTGCGTGATCGCAGAATATTCGCAGAGGGATTGCGAGGGATTGCTGAGGAGGGCGATGAAACGCCCAATTTCCTTCCCTCCGGCGGGTCAATCTGAGAGATGCCTCAGATCTGCGATCGGATCGCAGAGGGCATTGGCGGAGCAAGTCCACCTTCCGTCCTTGCCGGCGCTTGTGATGAGACGATTTTTGGGTCGACTCGAAAATCGTTTCAATCTGGGATGTGCCTCAGAGCTGGGATCGGATCGCAGAGGGCATTGGCGGAGCAAGTCCGCCTTCCCTAGTCGCCGGCGCTTCCTCGTTGCGGTGCGGACCTGCGGTTGATCGAACTGATATCCGTTGCAAAATGGGCGTCGTTCGGGAAGAGTTGGCGAATTAAAATGGTCAAAACGCTGGCAGAAAAATATGTTCCGCTAAGATGTCACCCTTTTCCGCTAAGGGCGAATAATTACGTTTAACGTAAACGTGACCACTGCTCGGACAACGCGCTCCAAAGGTTTTATCGTATGGTGCCAGCGAAGCGCTTCTAAGACAACAGCGTTCTACTGAGGAAAGCAAATATCGTGTCTCCCTCCCAGCCTTGCATGCTCGAAATCCCAACGAGAATGGCATGTGGTTGAGGGTGTGCCTGCATGCTTTGTGGGGGGAACAATCACGAGTTTCGTTTCAGCTATTGCGTGGTTACCCTATGCAGAAAAGATACTGTGAGCTGAAAGCACCTGACCTTTTACGACGAGTAGCGAGGGGGCAAAAGGTTCATTATTCGCCCAACCGGTTTGCCAGCGATTTCAATTTCGTCAGCAACCACCTCGTTTCGCCAAATTTGGACACTCACTTTGGATAAGGTGTCCACGTGAAACCATGGGGCGGCTAGAATTTCTCACAGGTTGCTGCATTCATCGCCGTGGTACATGTGGTATAGCACAGCTGCTCGCTCGATTTTTCTCCGCGAGCCGGCGATCTTCCCGCGCACCGCCTGTCGAGCGAACGAACGATTTCCCCTCCGCATTCACGCGCGATGCACGCGTGCGCGCCCTCGCGCGGAACAGCATTTCCATCTTGTGCGAAAATATGTGGTTTTTCGCCAGTGGTAACCACACAATCAGTTGCTCTCGCCGTCCGCCATGAGGCGCCATGGCGTTGCTCGCTTTTCGTCACCGAGCTCTCGCGCGAACAGTCTCCTGGCAGTCGCATATTTAAGCAGTCGCAGACCGTCGCACACCATCGCAGCGTAGGCTCGCAACGCAATGCATGCGTCGCACGAGTAGCCAAGCGACAATCGGGAGGCAGCGCGAAACAGTCGCGCGGCAGCAGGAGGGCCGGCGACAAATCTTCTCCGCCAAGCGCGCCGAGCCGGCAGCAGCAGGAGCGCTTGAATGACAGTCAATCAAATCAACCAGGTCAACCAGAGCAGCCAGAGAAATCAGCCCAGGAAACGTCTGAGTTGACTCCGGCGTCTACGAATGCGAGTCAACCAGGTCAACCATGGTCATCTACAGCTTCACCCGCTGCCTCTCCGGATTCTCCTTCCTCTTCCGACCCTGCTGCCTCGCTCGCTGCCGCACCTAGAGAGGAGGTTTGGCGGGCCTGCCTTACCACATCAGGAGGGTTGGCCGTAGCTGGGCTGCTGGTCAGACAGGTGAGTGGCGGGTTGATTCTCTGCTCTGCCGTCCCACAGTCCCATACCGTTCTTCTCCACCCCCACTTCAAACTTCCAAACACCCCCCCAACCTCCCCACAATCCCCTCCCTGCTCTGCAAATCCGCTCAAAACTTCCCTTAGCTGCACCATAAATTCATATTTTGAGTCTTCCTAAAGCTAGACTACTATCACGGCCAATATCACCCCCACCCATCTCAAACCCACCCTTCTCACCCCCACCTGTCGGCCTCATGACATCATACTTGCATCCCCATACCATCCCTGATTGCCATTCCAACCCCCCCTTCCCCCACCCCCCTTCTTCATTCTCTCAATCCCCCCCTCCCCCTTCTCTCTCCCCACCCACTCTCTCCCTTTGTCCTTCCTTTCTCTCCCTTGTCCATCCCATCCATCCCATCGCCATTCCCGAATTGCCGATGTCGCTGACTCTTTCCTCCCGTTTCCCCATTCCTCCCTGCCCTCCCTCCGCCCCCCATCTTCCCCCAGCTATCCTCCTGGGGGCATGACGCCGGTGCGCCCATCGCTGACTGCTTTCAAGCCATGCCACGTGCGTGAATGAGGGGCATGTGATGTGGGAGAATGAATGAATGGAGAATGAATTGCATGTGGGGGGAAAAGGAGAGAATGAATGGCATGTGAGAGAATGAATGGCATGTGAGAGAATGAATGGCATGTGAGAGAATGAATGGCATGTGAGAGAATGAATGGCATGTGAGAGAATGAATGGCCTGTGAGCGCACGTGATTTCCTATTCCTCCTGTTCCACCTCTTCATCTTTCACTCTGTCTCTACCACTCTTCACTGTGTGTCCACCACTCTCCACCGTGCGTCCACCACTCTCCACCGTGATCTATCACTTTTACCATGCATCTGACAGCCCCTGCCATAGGACCTACTCATATCACACCCTCTACTTCACGCCCCCTTTTCTCTACAATTCCACCCTTCCTCAACGCCTCTTCACTCCCCGTCAACCCCATTCATCCCCTTTTTTCCCCCCTTCTCCTCCATTCTCCTCCCTCCACCCCCCTCCACCTCCATTCACCCCCGTTCACCCCTCTCCACCCCTCCATCCAACCCCCAGTGAGCCTATCACCAGCCAGCGTGCCGTTCGCCCTCGCAGCAGCAGCCATCGTGTCAGCAGCTCGCCTCGCCCTATTGCGTCTCTCCCCGGCCTTCCTCGCTGCCACCAATGCCTCCAACACACGAGCACTCTCCAACCTTAACGCCACGGACCTCATCTGGGTGTCCCTTCTCCCGGGCATCTCAGAGGTGCGAGCTGCTGCAAAGACTGTGTGATGCGTGTGTCAAAGGCTATTGTGGTGTGTGCGTGTGCCAGGAGCTGCTGCGCCTCTCCCCGGCCTTCCTCGCTGCCACCAATGCATCCAACACACGAGCACTCTCCAACCTGAATGCCACGGACCTCATCTGGGTGTCGCTCCTCCGAGGCATCTCAAAGGTGCGTGCTGCTTAAGTCAAAGGCTAGTGTGCTGTGTGTTCCATACGCTGCTGCACCTCTCTCCAGCCTTCCTCGCCGCCTTGCCGCTTCCCATGCCTCCCAAGTTCCAACACACGAGCCCTCTCCAGCCTGAATGCCACGGACCTCATCTGGGTGTCGCTCCTCCCAGGCATCCCCGAGGTGTGTGCTTCTGCAACGGCTGGGTGATGTGTGTCAGAGTCTGTTGTGGGGTGTGTGCCAAGGGCTGCTGCATCTCTTCCCGGCCTTCCTCTCTGCCTCCCACCTGTCCAGCGTGGTGTATGTGGTATACGCTGCTTCGTGCTGCATGCTGCAAAGGCTGCTGTGCTGCGTGCTCTTACCAGAACATTGTCTGTGTGCTCTTCCGAGGTCAGGGCTCCATTGCCCTACTCATCCCCCCTGCCCTCCCATGTTGGAAAAGTCGCGCCCAGCGCATTGTACGCAAGCGTACATACGCTAGCGTATAATGCAGTATGCGCTGAATGACTGACTTTGAAAGTCGCAAAAAGTACGCTGCCCGGGCAGCAAAAACTTTGTACCGGGCAGAGGAAAAAAACCCCCTCCAGGGGGGGGGGGGGGGGAGGGGGGGGGGGGGGGTGAGGGGAGGTTGTACCATACTTTTTTGTTATAGAAAAAACCTTACAATTTCAACTACTCTAATCTAGCAACGTGCATCTCCTACACTAACCTACACCTGCAGAAGAACTACTACTCCCACCCTCTACTCCCCCCGTCCCTTCCTTCCTCCTCTACTCGTACTCATCCTCCAGCTCATCCTCCTCCCCCTCCTCCTCCTCCTCCACATCCTCCTTGTACCCTGCCGGCAGGGGGGCCTCAGGGATGTTCCCCGGGAGAACCGTCACCCCCTCATCCCCCGTGTGCCAGTTGCGCACAGTGTTCTGTGCGCAACGTACACGAGGTCCCGACACTTCTCGGACCCCAACCTGTTGCGCTTGGCAGTGTGGATCGATTCCCACACTGCCCAGTTCCTCTCACACGCCGATGCGGACACTGGCTGAGAGAACGCGGCATGCGAGCGTTGTCAGCTCGGGGTGGTCCATCCCGTGCCACGTCCACCACTGGACGGCCGTCTTCTTACCGGCCTTCACGAGCTGACGGTCTGAGATGGCGTCGGGGAGGCCGAAGCTCCCCTGAAGGGTGTTGAATGCCGTCAGGCCGTCCTGGATGACGTGGGATGCCTGCATCTCCTCGCCCTCTTTGCGCGTGACGGTCTGCCCCTCGAAGTGGCGAGCGACGAACGCTTTGAAGACGCGCGTACACTCCAGGTCGGCCCGGAAGATGCCTTCCTCTTGGTTGACCGGGTTGAGGATCCGGCCAACCACGTGCATGGGACACGCCATGCTATGGTCCCAGCGCCGCCGCACGATGTTGCTCACCTCCGCCTGTTCTGTGCTGGACAGCACCAATCCCCCCTCCTCCTCCTCCAGCTTCGCATTCATGTCTTCCGTGAGCTGGAGCATCAGATCATAAATCTTGCCCATCATGCCCTTGGCCGTCGAGTCGGTCTTGCGCATGACGACAAAGGGGATCTTCATGAGGGCGACGAAGTACTCCGCCCCTTTCCACCACACGGCATCCATGATCATGGCTTCGAAGGGCTCGGCCGTCACCTTCCTCCCCTTCGCCCAATCCTGCCACTCCGGGCTCAGCACCATCTGCACCAATGCCGCCCGCACCTGGCAAAGCCGCTGCACCGCGATGAATTGCATGCCAAATCTGGTGCCCGCCGGCTTCAGCACCTGCTTCCCCTTCCCTCCGTTCACCTGCGGGCTTCTCATGTAACCTTTGGTGAAATGGTGCGCACGCACAAAGGTAATAATCACCCCCGCCTTATCCACAATGTCCTTCGCCCAATCCATTTTCCCAATGTCCTCCATGAGCAGGTCCATGACGTGAGTAGCGCACGGCACATGCTCAATGTGAGGATACTCTAGCATGAGTTCCCTACATGCAGCCCCATAATTGCTGCCCCCATCCATGCAGAATGCAACTATGTTATCGGGGCCCACCTTCTCAATGATCGGGCGCAGAACCGATGCAATGTATCCTCCCGTCTTCGTCTCTAACTTACAGTCGATGCTTTCGGCGAAAACAGCACCGGAATCGTTGATGAGCAGGATGTTGGCTTGGGGACGACCACATTTGTCCGTCATCATGTCCGAACCAATCGTCACGCCATCCCGCCTCCAGCTTGCATTGATGGGAGCGAGGCCCCTCTCGATCCGTTCGCGGCAGCGCGCAAGGCCGGCGCCACCAACATACCGCCGCTTCGGCGGAACGTAGCCATGGCCCGCGTCCGCGATGCAGCGCACAACGTTGCGCCAGAGAGGGTGATCAGCGAGATGCTCCGGGAGGTGAAGTGCCGCCCACATGAGGCAGATGGCGTCGTCTGCCGAGCCCTTCGCACAAGACGCCCCTTCCCCGTAGAAGTCTTCGATGCACCCGAGCACGCCTCGATCGCCATCTCCTCCGCCTTCTTCTTCCCTTCCCTGCGGGCGTGTTTGCCTTCGTACAATTCGCGGACGGCGCCGCGGTCAGCAGCAGAGATAGGCGCCTTGCAAAGACAGACGTCCTTCCGTTTCAGCCCTTTCCAGCGCGTGATGTGTTGCGCACAACGGAAAGCGCCGCCTACGAACTGAAGCTTGCAGTGCCTGCATATGCGGACAGTTCGGTCAGGACCATTCGAGGTACCTTCGGTAGAGGTGCGGAAATGCTTAAAAAAACGTGGGTGTTTTCAGGAACATCCCCGTCCGCCATGGTCGCGTCATTCGAAGCACTAGGTGCCTCACTAGTGGCACTCGCGGGAGTAGTAGTACCAGTAGGAGTCGACATCAAGTGGTCCTGAGCTGAGTGTTGATAGAGAATGAATGAGGAGAGAGATACTAAAGTTGACGGGAATGGGCTCACCTTATAGTCCAGGATGTGGTTGAACCACCTTCGCTGGTTGACGACATTCGTGTTTGTGTGTTGGAGTCGCGCGATAGCATAGGGTGCAATGCGGTTCAAATTTTCCCACGTCCCCAAATTTTGTCAGGTGTGGGTGACAATATGTTTGGGACGTGCGTACAAATTGGGTTGGGACGTGCGTACATTTTGAGTCGCGTCGCACATTCGCAATTCGTGCGCGACTTTTGAAAAAAAAAAATTTATCCGGTCAGCCCGAACATTTCCCAGCGAGTATACGTACGAATTGCGTACACCGTATATTCGTAAACGACTATACGGTGTGCGCTTATGGTTTCTGGCGACTTTTCCAACATAGCTGCCCTCCTCATGCCCCCTGCCCTCTCCCTCCACCCTTCACACTTTACAGGAGCTGCTGTTCCGAGGGGCGCTCTTGCCGCTGGTGGGGGTGAATGCAGCGGGGGTGATAGTATCGGGGGCTGTCTTTGGTCTACTGCACGTCACGGGCGGTCGCAACCTCACCTTTGCTGCCTGGTACGCACGCTGCTCGTTGTTGCTCCCGTTCTCTAGACTTAAAGAGGCCACTCTGCCTGCTACGCACCCTGTGTCATGGTAACGAGGTGACTTTTGAGTCGACTCAAAAGTCACCTCTGCTCGTTGTTGCTCCCGTTCTCTAGACTTAAAAAGAGGCCACTCTGCCTGCTACGCACCCTCCTCCTTGTTGCCCATCCGGGGTTCTTTAGGTTTCTCGAAAACCTATCCGCCTGGTATGCCCCTCCTTTTCTTGGGCAGATTTGGGGATTTCTTGGAGAAGTCTCAGTAGCCTCCGGTCAATAACCGCTCTGGAAACTCGTGTTTTGAGTCGACTCGTGTTTTGAGTCGACTCGTGTTTTGAGTCGTGTTTTGAGTCGACTCGTGTTTTGAGTCGTGTTTTGAGTCGACTCGTGTTTTGAGTCGTGTTTTGAGTCGACTCAAAACAAGTCTTAGTAGCCTCCGGTCAATAACCGCTCTGAAAACTCTACTGCAGTGGGGGGGGGAGGAGGGAGGGGAGGGAGGGGGGAGGAAGGAGGGCTGGGGAGGGTTGTAGTATCTGAGTGGCAGTATGCTGCACGTGTTGTGGATTGCAACAGTGGGGATAGCACTCCCACATGCGCTGCACAGCCTCTGGAGTTGCATCGCCCACAATCCACATGTGCTGCACAGCCTCTGGAGTTGCATCGCCCACAATCCACATGTGCTGCACAGCCTCTGGAGTTGCATCGCCCACAATCCACATGTGCTGCACAGCCTCTGGAGTTGCATCGCCCACAATCCACATGCGCCAGCCTCTGGAGTTGCATCGCCCACAATCCTGCCAGTCACGCGGCTCCGAGTCAGGCGGCTCTGATTCAGGCGGCTGGCAGAGACAGCAGAGAGGGTTGCTAGCATGAGATACCACTTTCTTGCATCCCCACTCCTCCCCTTCTCCCTCCCTCGTCCCAGGGCATCATGTGTGGGGTGGTGTGTGTACAGCGTGCTGGCAGTGGCAACCCATTCGACTGGTGACATGGCCAGTGCCATGCTCGCTCACTCCCTCGCCCCTTCCTTCTCTCCCTCCGCCCCGTCCCTCCTCCCCGTCCTCTCCCCGCGTCTCAGGGCAACGAGTGTGGGGTGTGTGTATGGCGTGTTGGCAGTGGCAACGGGTGACATGGCCAGTGCCATGCTCGCTCACTCCCTCGCCAACCTGGTGTCTGCTGGCTGGTGGAAATGGCAGCAGCAGGAGCAATAGCAACAATGGCAGCAGCAGGAGCAATAGCGATAGCAGCAGCAGCGGCAGCAGCAATAGTTGCAGTGGTTGCAATAGCAGCAGCACTAGCAGCACCACTCCCGGGTGACATGGCCAGTGCCATGCTCGCTCACTCCCTCGCCAACCTGGTGTCTGCTGGCTGGTGGAAATGGCAGCAGCAGGAGCAATAGCAACAATGGCAGCAACAGCAGCAGCCGCAGCAAGCAGCAACAGCAGCAATAGCAGCAGCAGCAGCAATGGCAGCAGCAGCAGCAGCAGCAGCAGCAGCAGCAGCAGTAAATAGCAGGGATAGCAGCAGCAGTATCAGCAAGTGTTGCAATAGCAGAAACAGCGTCAGCAGAAGCAGCAACAAGATTACACTTATAGAAGCCACAGCAGCAGCAGCAGCAGCAGCAGCAGTAAGCATCATTAGCCCCATCACAGAAACTGAAGCAGCAACAGCACTTGTAGTGATGTGTGTTTTGAGGCATATCGGGATAGTTGTAGCATGTGCAAGATATGGTAATGGGGAGTGCGTGCACGTCGGGGCTTTCTGTTGTTGTCCAACCAAGTTGTACCTACTATGTTTATTGTTGATTTAGCCTGGGAAACGCAGGAGGCAATGACCACAGAAGGAACTGAGGATTTCTGTGAAACAATGGTGCAAGCAGATTAGATGAGTGTACAGCGGTTTTATTAGCATGAGAGACTCCTGTTGTTTGTACGCTAACCACTGCAACTGAGCATGCATAGTAACTACAGGACCATTAGACTATATTGCTAAGCATGTCGTGCTACTAAAACATCAGGGCCAACACGCAGGGCAACCAAAAACCCTCAAAGCCAAACCATGTAGGGTAACTAGACCATGAAGGCCACGTCGTATAAACACCCCATCAGGGCCAGGCGTGCACGTAGTAGCTGACCCGCTTCCCGCCTCGAGTGCGCAAACCGTGCAAGGTACGGTAACTATCCTATTATGGCCAGGCGTGCACGTAGTAGCCAGCACTGCGCATGGCGTTGAGAAGCTGGCCCGCTTCCCGCCTCGAGTGTGCAAAGAGGCTCGGCTTCCAAGAGAAGAAGTGCATGGAGGGGTGGTTGTAGTGCACCTCCACGAATAGCTCGTCGATTACTCGTGCCATGAGAGGCAAGTCTAGCCAGGCTGCAGCCCACACAGAGAGACAGAGGGGTGAAGGCAGGGGAATGGAGAGGGAAATGAGGGTGAAGAAGTGCATGGAGGGGTGGTTGGAAGATGTCCCACTCAGACCCCTCTATGACCACCTTCACCACCACCGTGTCCTCTGCTACTGTGCCTTTGCTGTGTCCCTTCAGCCTCTGTGCGCCTTTGCCTCATATGCGCCACTCAGCTACTCCTCTCCCCCTTTTCTGCACGCCACTCTCACCTTTGAAGATGTCCCACTCAGACCCCTCTATATCCATCTTCACCACCACCGTGTCCTCTGGCGTCAGCCACAGCTCTAGTGTGTGTGTGCTTCACATGCATCACTCACATGCTCTGGTTACCCCCCCTTTCTCTGCATGCCCCACCCACCTTTGAAGATGTCCCATTCAGACCCCTCTATATCCATCTTCACCACCACCGTGTCCTCTGGCGTCAGCTGCAGCTCCTCCAGCAGCCACCGCGTCACATTCACCACACCCTGCCGTGAGGGGTTCACGGTTTGATGGGTTGACGGATAGAGGGTAGCTGGGGGAAAGGGAAGGGAGAAGCAGAAGGGTGAGAGGAGAACAGGGAACCGAACTGCACCAGCAGGCACCACATGAGAATGGCCACGTGGTGTTATGATGACTGAAGGAATCAAATCAACCACCGAGTTTCCAACAGGAAACTTGAGAGCGGCTTGCACTTCACACCTCGCCCAGGCCCCTTCTCTCACCCCACACCAGCCGCCTCCACGCACCCCCCCTCACCTGCGCAGCGTCGTCCCGAGCAGTGGCCTTGAAGTGGTGCGAGTGCACTCTGGCGAGCAGCCATGCAGGGAAGTCCGCCGGGCCCATATGGAGCGCGCGCAGGCGACTGCGATTGCCCATGTTGGCGCGTAGTGTCTGATGAGGGAGGGAGGAAAAGTGGAAGGGGGAAGAGAGGAAGGGAGGAGAGATGAAGGGGAAGCGGAAGGGGAGGAAGGTGGCCTTGAAGCGGTGGGAGTGCACTCTGGCGAGCAGCCATGCAGGGAAGTCCGCCGGGCCCATATGGAGCGCGCGCAGGCGACTGCGATTCTTCATGTTGGCGCGTAGTGTCTGATCAGGGCGCAAGGGCGGAAGGTGGAAAGAGGACAGTGAAAAGAAGGCGAAAACAGGAAGGTGGAAAGATGAAAGATTCGCAAGGTTGATACAAGCGAAGAGAGACAACCCTTGAGAAGCAGCAGCAGAAGCAGCACAGCAGCGGCGGGAACAGCAGCAGCAGCAATGTTGTTAGCAGCAGTCACAGTTTCAGTTGCATCCATCTCGTCCCCCACCCTCCCCCATTTCACACCCCATTCCAACACCTTTTTGCTGCCGTCCAGCGGGGTATGACGTCAAAGTTAGGTTAGGGTTTTAAATTCAGGTTCAGAGTTTTAAACTGGGGTTCAGGTCAGATTTAAGTCTAGAGTATCAGATTTAAGATTTATATTTTCAGGTTTAGAAGTTAGGGCTACACACTGGATGTTTAAGGTTTCAGATTACGGTTTCGGATTTGAGGTTTCGGGCATCAGATTTCGGCGCCCACTTGAACCCCCTTGAACTCCGCCTTTCCCCTGCCCTTCCTTCCTCACCTTATGGCTGGGCGCGGGCACTTGAAAGACGCCCTGCCGCACCTCCACGGCGTGAATCTCAGTGAAGTCGAGCGGGTACGACTGCAGGAACCACGTGACGCTCGTGTTGAAGAACCGCCCCCCCAGGTCCACCAGCACGCGCCGCTTCCTGGAAGAGCACGCATGTGGGGGAGCAGGCGTGGGGGAGAGCAGGAATGGGGTAAAGGCGGGATTTGAGACGTCTCGATAGCAGGGTCGAGCACCGCCCTGAGGACGGGCAGGATCTGCGTCTTGTCGTCTGCACTGCTTGTGGGACGGCAGAACCAGCAGTACCAGACAGAATTCACTCACCTGGTGTGCATAGCAGGGTCGAGGACAGCTCGCAGAACGGGCAGGATCTGCGTTTTGTCCTCCGCGTCGTCCACGAAGCCCAGCGCGTACCCGCGGAACCAGCCATCACACGCACTCACTTGGTGTGCATTGAAGGGTCGAGCACGGCGCGCAGAACGGGCAGGATCTGCGTTTTGTCCTCCGCGTCATCCACGAAGCCCAGCGCGTACCCGCGGCGGAAGTTGAGGTGCTCGTCCAGCTCCTCTATAGGCAGCCCCGCTACTGGACACGGCGACATGCGCGGTATCCACTGCGGGGAGAGGACGGGGGAATGCAGGCGGAAACGCGCGGTGAAGCGGCGGCACAAGGGGTTGAAGTAAGGAGCATCGAAACACAGGCACGACAGGCAGCTAAGGGACAAACATATTAGAGACCAATCAACTACTTAGTGAGCCAGTTCGTTCGTGCGTCGACAGCACTGGTGCTTATCTCGCCGTCCCACCTTGGCTGAAACCCACGGATCTTCAGCACCGCCCGCTGTCGCTGGCTTTGAAATCCAGTCGCTACAATTCCGCACGTCAGCCGTCGATCCGGGATCCGACGGCGTCGGTTGCAAGGCGGCTATGATCCACGGCGGAGGTTCCGCCACGTGTAACGAGATCGAGACCGCAGCGACTATGGTGGCGAGAATGGCCCAGGTGAGGGACAGGCAAGCGGCGATCCCGGAGCCATTCGCGGTGCGTGCGGCCTTGAGTTGCGGGCTGCTGGGGGCTGGGGAACTGGTGAGCTTCGTGCGGGCATTGGAGGGTGCAAGCACGGGCAAGAGAACGGCCTCGTCGCCTTGGCCTTCGGCGGCGTCGCTGCGGTGAGTCAGTCTGTGCTTCGCGCTCTGCATTGCGGCGTCGTGGTGTTGGTACCGATGCAGAGTGGATGAACAAGTTAACAAGAGTTGCCTTTCCCTTTCGTCCGGGAATACCTTTTAGGGTTACTTAGTTCTAGTAAAAATAATTAGACGAGAATAGCGAATGAGCTGCGGCTGAGAGCCGGATTCGCTTCAATATGAGTGGATGAGCTGGTACGCATCAACCACGCATCTGCACAACTTCGATTCGTAAGGCTGTCCAACAGCATGGATGAATTCGCGAGCGACTACTAATCGTGAACGTGAGCGAGTCACGCAAACGGTGGCGAGAATCGAGAGAAAGGCTCAGGCACAGGAGGCAGTGCTCGAATTCGGTAATTGGAGATGCTCGGGGCCAACATCACAGGCATGCAAAACAGTCTGGTAACCCTATTCGATTGTATGCAAAACCGTCGTCCCCCAGTTCCACTGCGCAAATCTGTCTGGTACCGCCACTCAAAACACTGTGTAACAGCTGACGCAGCACAAAAAGAAAGCAATACGTGCAACAATCGAATACGCTTTCGATTTCTTTTCATTATATTCTTACCGCGCCTTGTTTGGCGCCTGACAACGATTCCTGCGGGCAACAATTTTCCGTTGAATGTGCACGATAATTTCGACCGGAAAATTCGTTGGAATGAAAGTAATATATATTGCTACCGGGTGCTGTTAGGGCAGGCAAGAAAAAAATAAAACCCCTAGGGACCGGGACTCATTTCAGGGAGGGATCAACCCTAAACACGGGAAAGGGCATTGTTTTTAGGGTTGATGCCTCCCGAGTCGCATCCCTTTCCGATTGGGTTTTATTTTTTCTGCAGGTGTGGCGAACAGTGCTGCTCATATGGCAGATCAGTCGCCCGAATAAATCGAGTTTTATAGGACAACAAAGCGTGGTAGAAATCTGATTTTGAAGTAAATAGAACCGCAATTCTAGGGCAATATGTCAATAACTCCGAAACCGAGGTATCGACGGTTTTGCATACAATCGAATAGGGTTACCATACTATTTTGCATGCCTGTGATGTTGGCCCGAGATGCTCGAATGTGACTGAGAGGCTCGTGCATCTTGGTCCTTCACCCGCGAAACACGGTCAACTCAAAGTTGCCGTCGGCCTGACATCAATATGCTCGAACCGCACTGGATGCCCAACCTGTCTCGTCTCGTCCCATCTGACGCTTGATGTAATTCTGAACTATCTTACACCTAGTTCGCTAGAATCACCCGCACTTTACAGTCTTCAGGAAACGGCAATGCCACATGAATACTCAGATTCCGCGAGGCTCGCGAGTTTCGGTAGAGACAATGTCGGGCTTCGCGAGCATCGGCCTGGCATTAAATACTGCGAGCAGCGAATTCACGATGGGTTGACAAACCAGGGTAACACCCATCGCTCAAGCGTACCAATCGCGCGAGCCTAAATTCACGAATACTTAATACGCGAGAAGCACAATCGAAACAATCTAGGTGACCGAAACAAGAATCCGGTGCACTCTAGCTTCCCACAAGAACTCTCGACAAATCAATTCAGCGATAGGTCTGGTCATAAATGGCGCACTCAGGGACCTGGTTCGTTTAATGCGGCCAAGTACGTAAACAAAACGATAAAATATGGTTAGCTTCGGTGGAAACTCAGAATCGTTTCAACTCCTTTCTAAAGCACAGAACCGCATTGAACGTGTCGGGTTCATTCAAACGTGACCCGCCCTCAGTGTTCGTTTTCTGGCGGTAAAGCCTCTTGTGTCAGGACCGAACCGTGTGACTCTCTTTCATCAGATTCGAAACAGCAGAAAGTTGGTAAACTATGCAAAAAAAACAAAAAACAAAACAAAAACGAAACTCAGCAGTTCGCTAGCCTTGTCCGTTTTACGCCAGTTACCAGCCGTTATTGTTCATTGTACTATGCGCCAGCCTCTGCCAAACCACGCACATTTGTATGGAGGCAAATCCGGCTCTAGTTAGGGCATACCATTTAAATACAACATTGTATCAGACCTAACTCGCTATACACACAATGCAATACCGAGTACAGCCAACGATACACCCCCCAAAGCTAATGCTGGTTGTATTTTCTCTCCGAACGCATAGCCAGCTGCTGCGTTGAAGGCAAAGGTGGCACCGTTGCTGACCGGCACAGCCACAGAGACATGCACGCCCCTCAGGGTGAGGAAGAAGAGGACTGAACCCGAGAGGTTGAGGCAGAGAGGCACGTAGTACTGTGGGGGGTACAGGGGGGAGCAGGAGGGTGCAGAGGGGTACAGAGGGGGGTGGATGTAAGGGGGAGACTGAGGGTTGCTGACAGGCAATGCCACAGAGACATGCACGCCCCTCAGGGTGAGAAAGAATAGGACTCAACCCGAGAGGTTCAGACAGAGGGGCAGGTACAGCCAGAGGTGGGTGAATTGAAAGGAGAAACTGAGGGTTGCTGACAGGCACAGCCAGAGAGACGTGCACGCCCCTCGTGGTGAGGAAGAAGAGGACTGAACCCGAGAGGTTGAGGCTAAGAGGCGCCTGGTACACAATCCGCGTGATAGTAATCTAGTTTTGAGACGTCTCAAAACTAGAGGACTGAACCTGAGGCTGAGAGAGTTTGAGGCGCCTGGTAGGTACTGTGGGAATGGTTGGGTGCAGAGTGGAAAATAAGTGGTTGCTGGTCACCGGGAGGGACGTGGGTGGCTCGTATAGTAAGGAAAAGGAGGATGAGCTCGAAAGGTTAGTGCACAGAAGCCAATCGTTTGTAGGCTGATCCTGAACATTCTCACAATCAACCTACTCGGGGTAAGGAAGACGAGGATGAGCTTGAAAGGCCAGGGCACAGAAGCGAAATGTTCGTACTGCCGGAGGTGGGGGGGTGCAGAGGGGCAAGGCAAGGCACTAGTCGTTGCTGTGCTGCTGGGATAGACGTCGACGGATGTCCAAAGTGAGGAAGGAAGGAGAGGAGTGCACCAGAGAGATTGAGGCACAGAGGCGTGTAAAACTGTCGGAGGTGGGGTGGGTGGGTCCAGGGGTCTCAAGAGAATCTAAAAAAATATGAATTGGAGTTGTTCTATGTTCTCCAATAAATCTTGTTATGAGAATTCTCGAAGGCGAAGCCATTGTAGACTTTGGCAATCATGGAGGCTTTTGAGAATTTATGAAAAAGTTGGTTTTAGGTGGTTTTTGAGGATTCTTCTCAAAGGTGAAGCCATTATGCACTTGGGCACTCTGAGAGGCACGAGATACCCCAAGAGTTGCAGTAGAACGTGCAATGCGAGAGGGCGGAAGGGGGGGATGGCCACGAAGGGGGAATGGGGTGATGGAAAAGAGGGGGTAACGGGATGCTGGCAAATAGGAGGGAAGGGGATGATGGTAAAGAGAGGGGAAGCGGATGGTGGAAACGAGGGGGAAAGGGGATGGTAGAAAAGAGAAAGGAAATGGATGGTGGAAAAAAAGGGGGGAAGGGGATGGTGGAAAAGAGGGGGGAAGCGGATGGTGGAAAAGAGGGGGGGAGCGGATGGTGGAAAAGAGGGGGGGAGCGGATGGTGGAAAAGAGGGGGGGAGCGGATGATGGCAAAGAGGGGGGGAGCGGATGATGGCAAAGAGGGGGGGAGCGGATGATGGCAAAGAGGGGGGGGTGGGGACGACGGTCTTGAAATATGGGTTGGGCTGGAGGGTTAGAGATGAGAGGGGAGCGGTGAAGGGAGGAGGAATAGGCAAAGAGGAAGAGATGGAGTGGGGCGTCAAGAAAGGAGGGAGGGGCAGGGGAAAAGGGAGAGGGGCGGGGTAGGACTGAGAGGAGGTTAAGGGAGGAAGGATGGAGAGAGGAGCAAGAAAGGGGATAAGGGCGAAGATGGCAAGCGGTGCTGAAAAGGAATGGACGACAGCACGGCAGAGATGCAGAGCGGTGGAATGCGAGAAGCAGGAGTGCTTGATGCATGGGATAGGGGGGAAGGAGGAACAGCAGTGAGCAGTAGGAGAGGCGAGAATGTGAGTGCGAGAGTGCAGGATGGAGGGGGGGTATGCACAGGACAGGGAGTGAGGGAGAGGCAGCAGCGAGCAGCGGGAGAAGCGAGAATGTGAGTGCGAGAGTGCAGGATGGAGGGGGGACACGCACAGAACAAGGAGGGAGGAGGGCGGTGAGGTTTTGGGGCAACAGGGAAGCATCGGAAGAGAGGGTGGCTGTGCCAGATTACTAGAGAGGCGAGGGTGTGAACAGATGACCTCACACGTGTGTGTGAACAGATGACCTCACACGTGTGTGTGAACAGATGACCTCACACGTGTGTGTGAACAGATGACCTCACACGTGTGTGTGAACAGATGACCTCACACGTGTGTGTGAACAGATGACCTCACACGTGTGTGTGAACAGATGACCTCACACGTGTGTGTGAACAGATGACCTCACACGTGGGTGTGAACAGATGACCTCACACGTGGGTGTGAACAGATGACCTCACACGTGGGTGTGAACAGATGACCTCACACGTGGGTGTGAACAGATGACCTCACACGTGTGTGTGAACAGATGACCTCACACGTGTGTGTGAACAGATGACCTCACACGTGTGTGTGAACAGATGACCTCACACGTGGGTGTGAACAGATGACCTCACACGTGGGTGTGAACAGATGACCTCACACATGTGTGTGAGCAGATGACCTCACACGTGTGTGTGAACAGATGACCTCACACGTGTGTGTGAACAAGGAATGACCTCACACGTGTGTGTGAACAGATGACCTCACACGTGTGTGTGAACAGATGACCTCACACGTGTGTGTGAACAGATGACCTCACACGTGTGTGTGAACAGATGACCTCACACGTGGGTGTGAACAGATGACCTCACACGTGGGTGTGAACAGATGACCTCACACGTGGGTGTGAACAGATGACCTCACACGTGTGTGTGAACAGATGACCTCACACGTGTGTGTGAACAGATGACCTCACACGTGTGTGTGAACAGATGACCTCACACGTGGGTGTGAACAGATGACCTCACACGTGTGTGTGAACAGATGACCTCACACGTGTGTGTGAACAGATGACCTCACACGTGTGTGTGAACAGATGACCTCACACGTGTGTGTGAACAGATGACCTCACACGTGTGTGTGAACAGATGACCTCACACGTGTGTGTGAACAGATGACCTCACACGTGTGCGTGAACAGATGACCTCACACGTGTGTGTGAACAGATGACCTCACACGTGTGTGTGAACAGATGACCTCACACGTGTGTGTGAACAGATGACCTCACACGTGTGTGTGAACAGATGACCTCACACGTGTGTGTGAACAGATGACCTCACACGTGGGTGTGAACAGATGACCTCACACGTGTGTGTGAACAGATGACCTCACACGTGTGTGTGAACAGATGACCTCACACGTGTGTGTGAACAGATGACCTCACACGTGTGTGTGAACAGATGACCTCACACGTGTGTGTGAACAGATGACCTCACACGTGTGTGTGAACAGATGACCTCACACGTGTGTGTGAACAGATGACCTCACACGTGTGTGTGAACAGATGACCTCACACGTGTGTGTGAACAGATGACCTCACACGTGTGTGTGAACAGATGACCTCACACGTGTGTGTGAACAGATGACCTCACACGTGTGTGTGAACAGATGACCTCACACGTGTGTGTGAACAGATGACCTCACACGTGTGTGTGAACAGATGACCTCACACGTGGGTGTGAACAGATGACCTCACACGTGTGTGTGAACAGATGACCTCACACGTGTGTGTGAACAGATGACCTCACACGTGTGTGTGAACAGATGACCTCACACGTGTGTGTGAACAGATGACCTCACACGTGTGTGTGAACAGATGACCTCACACGTGTGTGTGAACAGATGACCTCACACGTGTGTGTGAACAGATGACGTCACACGTGTGTGTGAACAGATGACCTCACACGTCTGCGAAGCAGCCCCGCCGAACAACTCTGTCGGCCTCACGTTTCCAAGTCTCCATTGAAACACGGGCCCACACCACGCTTTAATCACGTACTATCGCTGGAGCTTCTGAATAATGCGGCTAACATCTCTCGGAACCTAGCCTTCTACGTACTCCCTCCCGTCGACCAACCTGCCAATCACGAGTAACCACGTGGACAAATCTTCTGCTTCTGAAGGCCAGTTTCTGAGAAAACGACATGGAAGCTTCCAGGCCGGCGGTTTTGCCGGTAGCGGCGGCAGATTCGTCCGCTTTGATGTGGCGCTTCGACATCGCGGCGCCGCGCTTGATGAGCGGATTCGTGATTCCCCAGACCGCGCCGACCAGGAGCAGCCATGCGATGTCGCTCGCTGCGACTCCGACTGCGACCATCCCTGCGACGGACGACGTGCTGCTGCTGCGAATCAAGGGGGGGCGGCAGTCGTAGTGCTTTTATCTTCAATTCTCCGCCAATCAAATCCAAATTTCGGATTCCGCGAATCGCGATGGTACGCTATGGTTCCCGCAGAGAAGTTATGATGAGAGAGAAGCACTGTCATGTGGTTCACAGGGAGCATTTGCACGATCGATGCTGAGCAGGTTCGGTTTTTTTTCGGAGTTGAAAACGGCCCTAAATCTCTTCAGTGTTACAAGCAGGTTTCAAGTGCGGTTGACGTTCTGTTTTTGACAATGGATCGTGAAAAAATCGAGTGGTAACGCGTCCTAGTGGAGACCGGCGTTCATGTGGTTTCGCTCAAAACGGACGCGATACTCGAGGTACAGAAAAACACTTATGAGTAGAAAACAAATCATCAAACACATTTTCAAGTTTGGTTTTGTGACTGAACAACTTCTGCTTATATAGCGCATATAGAACGTTTCCACAATTGTTCTGCAAAAACAAATCAGCACGTAACTCATCCATTCGCGAGAGCAGGACAACACACAATTAAAATCAACCAAGTCGGGGAGCCAGCCAGTCCATGGCATAGAATCCTGTGGCATCCATCCCTCTCCAACTTCTACACAATGCTCTCTGGTATCATATTTATAAGAAGTACTGTACTTTGAGTGACTAGTTGGGGGTATCCCCCTCCTCCCTCAGCTGCACTAGTCGTTGCCGCAACCCAACACCCGCCCCACTAGTTGTCTCACCGCCACTCGTGGACAGAGCCTCCCCATCCCCGTGCCCATCCCCATCCCTATCTCCATGCCCATCCCTCCCGCCTTCCCCATTACCCCCGCCTTCCCCATGCCTCTCATGTCTCTCGTCCCTCTCGTCCCTCTCGTCCGTCTCGTGTCTCTCCTGTCTCTCGGCCCCACCACCTAGAGCATTCAGAAATTCCACTCCACCATCAGCGGCAGCATTGGCAGAGGCAGCACTGGCACTGGTGGCAGCAGCATCAGCATTAGCACCGGCAGCATCAGCATCACCACCAACAGCATGAGCAGCAGCTTCTGTGTCCGCGACTGCAGCAGCAGCAGCAGCAGCAGCAGCAGCATCCGCTTCAGCATCAGCAACGGCAGCATGAGCATGAGCAATGGCAGCATCAGCATCAGCAATAGCGGCATGGGCAGCAGCAGTGGTGTTTCGTAACCACCAGAGCACAGAGAGCATACCCAGCAGCACCATCACCACTACCGTGTCCCACTCCCCTAACTCCTGCCACACCCTGCTGCCCTTGCTGCTGCTGCTGCTGCCACCGCTGCTGCTGGTGCTCCTACTGCTGCTCCTGCTGCTGCCACCAGTCTCGCTCATGCCGCTACCATAGCTGTTACCATCTTCAGGGTAAAGCAAGCTTTCCAGCTCCCCAAACAAATAGTCCTCGAAATCCAGCCACCACTGCGCAGCCGCTGACATGGACTGCATCACCGCTGACGCAGCACGACTCAGCGCTGACACGGCCGCTCTAACGAACGACATCGCACCGGGTGCTGACGTGGAGGAAGAGATGGCGTAGCGAGGGAGGAGGGGGAGGAGGACGGAGCGCAGGGATGGGGGGAAGAGGCGGAGAATGGCGAGGGAATTGAGGGCGAGGGAGACAGGGAGAGCCTCGTCGTTGTGGCAGTAGAGCAACGCTGAGGTGAGCAGCTCGTGTGCTCGGGTCAGATTCACTGGGACTATGACGGTAACTGTGGCGTTGCTGCTGCTGCCATCACTGCTGCTGCTGCTGCTTCTCCACAGGGCTGAGGCTGCACTGTACCCGCCGGTGCTGTTATCGAGGCCCACTATATGGAGGTAGGCGAGGTGAAAAAGCGCCTCTGGTTCGTGCAGGTCTGCTGCCCGCTGCAGCAGAGACAGCGGGTCGCAGGGGAGAGGTTCAGGGGCAGCGGTAACCGCCTGTGCTGCCGTGGAGTTCTGATCAACGGCTGGGAGTGACTGTGCAGGATGGTTTGGATCAACGGCTGGGATTGACTGTGCAGAAACGTGTGGATCAACGGCTGGGATTGACTGTGCAGAAAGGTGTGGATCAAGGGCTGGAATTGACTGTGCGAAAGGGTGTGGATCAATGGTGGAGATCGGTGGTGGCGGTGGGAGTGGCAGCAGCGAGGGCAAGTGGTGGATGAGCATGAGGAGCGCCGCATCCACCATGGCTGGTGCCGACCCGATGTGCACCGCCCTCATTGCGTGGTCCAGCGCTAGCGAGTAGCGATCAGAGGCTGGTGGAAGGGTGCGGGGGAAGGAGAAATGGGCGAGAAGTGACATCACATGAGGGATCTGAGGCATTTAGAGCACCCAAAACCCCATCCATCCCACTCACCCATCTCATCCCACTCACCCATCCCATCCCACTCTCCCATCCCATCCCACTCTCCCATCCCATCCCACTCACCCATCCCATCCCACTCTCCCATCCCATCCCACTCTCCCATCCCATCCCACTCTCCCATCCCATCCCACTCTCCCATCCCATCCCACTCACCCTCCCATCCCACTCTCCCATCCCATCCCACTCACCCATCCCATCCCACTCTCCCATCCCATCCCACTCTCCCATCCCACTCACCCATCCCATCCCACTCACCCATCCCATCCCACTCTCTCATCCCATCCCACTCACCCATCCACCCCACTCATCCTCCCAGCCAACCGGGAAATGCGTGTTTCCAACACCCCAAGACCCCACCCATCTCCCACTAACCCCCTGACACCCCTCCCATCCCACTCACCTGAAAATCCCACTCACTCCTCCCATCCCACTCACCTGAGTACCCCTGTCCGCGCATCAGCATCTGGGCAGCGTTCTCTGCTGCAACTTTGCTCCCCTCCTCCGCCACCATTCCGTACCGCACCAAACCGCTCCACCAGTCCCCATCCTCGTACGCCGCCGCAGCCTCCTTTAGCTCCGCCGCCCACCCGATGCGCTCCGAGACGAAAATGCCGTAAAGCTTCGCCGCCCGAGAACAGTTGCGGAGAACTATAGCACCAGCTGAATCAGCAGCACCAGCAGCAGCAGCGACAGCAGCTGAGTAAGCAGCAGAAGCAGAAACCAGTGATCCATCGAGAATCCGAGCCAAAGTATAGGGAGCACTCCATTGCCCTGCATCCATGGCCCTCTCAAAGTAACCCACCGCTGCGGTCGCATTCGCAGGCACGCCCAGCCCGTCGAAGTGAATATACCCTAAGTTCGAAAGCGCGTCCGAGTCGTTTCTCTCTGCTGCTTTCAGGAAAAACTCACGTGCGAGGTTCAAGTCTTGCTTTACCCCCCACCCGTTTTGATACAGGACCCCCAGCCCGTTCTGGGCAGATGCGAGTTTGTTCCTGCCCGAAGCCGCCTGCAGGAAGTATTTCCGGGCAGCGGTGAAGTTTTTCGGAACTGCCCCGCCTGCTCCGGTCATGTGCATGTAGCCGAGGTTGAAGGCTGCCACGTCATCACCAGCAGCAGCAGCCAATTGGAAGTGGCGCAGGGCCTCCTGGGGGTTGCGGGGGATCCCCTGGCCGATGAGGTGGCGGAATCCCATTAGTCGAAGGGATTCTGGTACCCCCCTCTCTGCCAGGTCTTGCTCAAACTCCACCTGAGCGGGGCAGAGGGCGAGAGAGGAGGGTTGGGGAGGAGAGGCAGAGGAGGAGGAGGGTAAGAAGGGTGTAAGGCGTAAGGAGACAAAAAAACGCGAAGTTCCGGCACTCCCCCCGCTCTGCTAGGCCCTGCTCAAACTCCACTTGGCTAAGCAGAGAATGACGAGCGGGCGTGGGGAGGAGGGGCAGGGAAGAGGGGCGTAAGGGGGGCAAGGAGAGCACGGTTTTGGAACGCCCTGTTCAAACTCCACCTGATTTGGGTCATGCAGAGCGCGAGAGAGGAGGTGCATGGAAGAGCGGCAGGCGACGAGCGGCAGAGGAGGAGGGGGGGGAATAAGAAGGGCATAAGGGGGTGTGGGGAGGCTAAGTAAGAAACTTCTGGCACCCCCCGCTCTGCTAGGCCCTGCTCAAACTCCACCTGGGTTGGGCAGAGGGCGAGAGAGAAGGGTGGGGAGGAGAGGTATATGGAGACAATATCACCAAGGGAACAGAGAACAGCAGCATCAGGCTGTCACTCACCTGTTCTGCATGGTCATCATCGAATGCTTGCGGCTGGAACCCCCCCGTCGCAGATGCCTCTGCCTCTACCTCTGCCTCTGCTCCTGCTGCTGCTGCTGCACTAGAGCTAGGAAACCAAAGCACCAGCTTCACTCACCTGTTCCGCATGGTCATCATCGAACGCCTGGGGCTGGAACCCCCCATCGCGGAACCAGTCCCTCAGACGCACGGGGTCTTTGGGCAGCTGCTGGTCGCCTGACGCCTCTGCTGCTGCTGACAGGTCTGCTGCTGTGCTGCGGTAGTAGGCTAGTGATGCCTCACAGTCAGTGGGAACTCCACGACCCTGCACGAGAGAGAGTGGTTGAGAGTGGTGGGAAGGGCCAAGAAAGGGGGGGTTCAGAGTGGTTGGAAGGGCCAAGAAAAAGGGGGTTCAGAGTGGTGGGAAGGGGCAAGAAAGGGGGGGTTCAGAGTGGTGGGAAAGGGCAAGAAAGGGGGGATTCAGAGTGGCCTAAAGCGATTGACGCCTCTGCTGCTGCTGACAGGTCTGCTGCTGTGCTGCGGTAGTAGGCGAGTGATGCCTCACAGTCCGTGGGCACCACATGGCCCTGCAACAGAGAGTGGTTGAGAGTGGTGGGAAGGGGCAAGGAAGAGTGTAAGGGTGGTCTGAAACGATTGACGCCTCTGCTGCTGCTGACAGGTATGCTGCTGTGATGCGGTAGTAGGCGAGCGAGACCTCCCCCAGTCAGTCAGTGGGCACCCCGCAACCCTGCAAGCAACGAAGGTAGCAGAGGAACGGAAAGAGTGAAGAAGTGAAGAAGAAAAATTGCTACTATCCTGGCGGCGTGCACGCACGCATGAAGCCAGCTATTAAGGTTCTCCGGTTCCTATTGTACTCTTGTCAAGTCAACCTTTGAGGTGCCTCGAGGACAGGAAGAGATAGATGTCGGGACAGTAGAAGCGAACACGCGTGGACTAAAGCTGACTGAAGGCAGGACCTCACCGTACCGGGTTCGAATGCAATGCACTTGGTGGCTGGGGGTTTGCTTCAGTGGCTTTAAATCTGATCTGCAAGAATAATATTGTGACACTGGCTTCATCCCCCTAATGCATCACATCATAAAGAGCACAGTGAGCACTCACGTAGAGGAAGCGGCTGGCGAGGGCAGCCATGGCCTGCATGGAGCTTGTGAACTTCATCATCCCTGTAACACATCGGCTTATAAAGAGGACGGACAGTGTGTAACTGACTCACATAGAGGAAGCGGCTGGCGAGAGCAGCCATGGCCTGCATGGAGCCGGTCTCTGCTGCCAGACGCAGGTAGTGCAGCGCCTGTGGGATAAAGGAGTAGGCAGGTGGATGAGAGGAGGAAAAGGTAAAGGTTGAGTTGAGTGGAAGGAGTGGTGTGTCTCTGTGGGTTCTGTCCCTGCCTGCAAGGAGGTTGTCTCTGCTGCCGAACGCAGGTAGTGCAGCGCCTGGCGGGATAAAGAGGCAGGACGGTGGATGAGAGGAGGAAAAGGTATAGCTTGAGTTGAGTGGAAGGAGTGGTGCATGTTTGTGGGTTCTCCTCCTCCTGCCTGCATGGACCCAGTCTCTGCTGCCAGACGCAGGTAGTGAAGAGCCTGACAAGATAAAGGAGCAGGCGGGTGAATGAGAGGAGGAATAACGAGGGTTGAGTTGAGTGGAAGGAGTGGTGTCTGTCTGTCTGTGGGTTCCGTCCCTGTCTGCTGTTGCCAGGCGAAGGTAGGTTGCACATGGCCTGGCGGGATAAAGTCGCAGGAGGGTGGACGAGACGAATGGGCGAAAGGTGAAACAAGGGGTGGGACCGGTGGGACTGGTGGTGAGAGGAGGGGAAACAGAAGGTTGACAAGAGTGTCTACATGGAAAAACTCATGTCAGTCTGTGGTTCCCCTGCATGGGCTGATTCCTGCTGCCAGGCGGAGAGATGGTGCACGACTGACATCGCTATGGGAGAACAAGGAAGAGCATAATAAAGGGTGGCTAATAACGAGGACAAAGTCTTAAAGCCTTGCAGCGTGTCTGTCCGCGGTACCCAGGGGAAGACCCAAGGTCGATTAAAAAGAATGACTTCTCACAAAAACAGTGGTGCAGTGATGGAGTGCCTCCGAGGTGATTCTGAGTCGACGTTTTACAAAAATGCCTTTTTTCTCTCACTCACTTACTCTTGCGCCCACTCACTCACCAGAGTTTCATTCCTCGGGTAAACATCCTCCCCTGCGAATCCTGTAGCCGCCATCACAGCCAGCAGGAAAGCCGCATCACTCGCCACCACCACCTCCTCCTCCCTTGATCGTTCACTCGCTCACTCACTCTCTCACTCACTCTCTCAACCAGTCAGTCAGTCACTCACTCGCTCACTGACTCACTCACTCGCTCTCTTGATCACTCACTCACCTAATCTCTCAATCACTCACTCACCAGCGTTTCATTCCTCGGGTAGACCTCCCCTGCGAACCCTGTAGCAGCCATCACAGCCAGCAGGAAGGCAGCATCACTCGCCACCACCACCTCCTCCTCACTCACCCCCTCATCTTCCCCCCTCCCCCCACTCACTTCTCCCTTTCTCAATCCCAATGACGCCCTCCCGTCCTGCTCCCTCCCCCCTTCGCCCCTCTCTGCCCGTTCCTCTTCCTCGTCCTCATTCTCCCCACCCTCATCCTCCTCTTCATCTCCCTCATATCCCTCATCTCCCTCATCTCCCTCATCTCCCTCATTCCCCCCATCCCCCTCGTCTTCGTCCTTCAGCGCTCTCAGAGCATCGGCCCGCCAGGCAGCGTCTGCAGCTGCAATCCCTTGTGGAGGGCTGCTCTCCTGCACTGCCCCTCCATCTGCTGCAACCTGAGTCCCTGCCTGCGCTGCCCCACCATCTTCTGCCTTCAGCGCTCTCAGAGCATCGGATCGCCAGGCAGAGTCTGCATCTGCAATCCCTTGTGGAAGGCTGCTGTCCTGCACTGTCCCACCCTCTGCCGCAACCCCCCCTGCCTGCGCTGCCCCCTCATCATCTTTCTTCAGCGCTCTCAGAGCATCAGCCCGCCACGCAGCGTCTGCAGCTGCAATCCCTTGTGGAAGGCTGCTCTCCTGTACTGCCCCATCCCCTGCGGCAACCCCACCTGCCTGCACTGCCCCACCCTCTGCCGTTCCCCTTCCCTCCTGCCTTGCATCTGCTCCTTCCCCGGCCGCTGCCCCTCCCCCTTCCCCTGCCACTGCCCCTCCTACTTGCCCTGCCCCTCCCCCGCCCACTCCCCCCTCCTGTTCTTGATGCCCCAATCCAGTTGCTGCAGTCGAAGTGGAGAGTTGGGAGGATGGGGAGGATGGGGAGGAGGAGGAGGAAGGGGGAAGCGGAGGGGCGGGGCTGGAGGGGAAGGGGAAGAAGGGCGCGGAGGGGAGGGGCGGCAGGAGGGCGGCCATGTGCTGTAACTGCTGCAGAGCTGCTGGCACGTTGCGCTTGGCCTTGCGGGCGAACTGGGGAAGGGCGAAGGGGGGAGGGGGTGGAGGGGGGAAGGGAGGATAAGAAGGGGGGCAGTTGCGAAAAGAGCAGGAGGGCGGTTATGTGCTTCAGCTGCTGCAGGGCTGCTGGCACGTTGCGCTTGGCCTTGCGAGCAAACTGGGAGGGGGGTGGATGGGGAGGGAGGGGGAGGGAGGGGGAGGGAGAGGGAGGGATGAGGACAGAGGGAGAGGGAGTGGGCGGCCATGTGCTTCAGCTGCTGCAGGGCTGCTGGCACGTTGCGCTTGGCCTTGCGCGCGAACTGGTGAGAGGGAGGCAGTGGGGGGAGGGAAGAAGGGGAGGGAGGGAGGGGAAGATGTGATAAGGGAGGATGTGCTTCAACTGGTGGATACCGTTTCTGCGTAACAGAACATAGCTACATAAACCAAACATTACCTAATGAATTATCCATGGTATGGTATCATTAGAGCGAACCTCGTTGCTCACCAGCGTACATTAATATTGATGATAATGAAAACATACAAATCTTACCAGCATGTCAAAACACATGCACACGCCACTCACCAGCATATCCACGTCACTCACCGGCATATCCACGTCACTCACCAGCATATCCATGGCATCTAGCAGATCCTCATTGGTGAACCGAGCAACCTTGGGATTGCTGCCCCCTGCCTTCACACTGCCACTGCCTCCCCCCGTTGCATCTACCCCTGCTGCACCAACGCTATCCCCTGTTGCCCCAGCGCCTTCCCCTGCAAGGATGTAGCCTTTTCTGCCTGCCCCGCCAGCCACCTTACTGGGATCAGACAGATGGTGCCGCCGCCTCATCCCGCCACCGTTGCCGCTGCCGCTGCTACCACTGCCGCTGCTACCGGCGCCACTGCCACCACTGCCACTGCTACCGCCACCACTGCCACCGCTATCACTGGTGCTGCTACTGCCGCTGCTACCATCGCTGCTACCAGGTGACGCATTAGGCTCAGCAGCAGCTCCTACTGTTGTTGTTCTTGTTCCTCCTGCCTCTGCTGCTGCTGCTTCCCCCGCTGCTGCTTCCCCCACTGCTACTTCCGCTGCAGCTGCGGCTGTGTCGGCCCCAACTGCTGCTCTTGCTGCTCCTGTCTCTGCCGCTGTGGCAGCAGCTGCCGCTTCTTCTACCCCCTCCCTTGGTTCCGAAATAGAACCTTCTGCTCGGTATCCTTCTATAGCTCTGTCTAAAAATACTCGCCTTGACACTGCTCCAGGTGACTCAGCTTCACGTGATTCCGTCCCAGGTGTTTCTCCTCCAGGTGTTTCTCCTCCAGGTGTTTTTGTTCCAGGTGTTTCTTCAGCAGGAGTGGCCGTGCCAGGCGAAATTTCTGCGCCATTGGATGCCACAGAAGGGCCTGCGGAGCCAAGAACCACTGAAATGCGGGACGGGGAGGAGAGATGCATTGTGGTGACTTTTGGGTCGACTCAACTCAAAAGTCACTCTCTGCGCCATTGGATGCCACGGAAGGGCCTGCGGAGCCAAGAACCACTGAAATGGGGGACGGGGAGGAGGGATGCATTGTGGTGACTTTTGGGTCGACTCAAAAGTCACTATCTGCGCCATTGTCTGCCACAGAAGGGCCTGAAGAGCCAAGAACCACTGAAACGCGGGACGAGGAGAAGGGGATGCAATGCGAAAACAGAAGTGGGGTATGGTAGGGTCAAAACGCGTTGGCATGTGGCGGGACGTGATGGAAAGGGGTGAGATGCGGTTGCGCGAGATGAAATGCCAGGCGGTGAGGAGGAAAGAAAGTGTGAGTATGTATGTCAGAATAGAAAGAGCACAACAGCAGAACCGAAGGCGCGAATCTAGAAACCCATGTAGTGAAGACAGACAAGTTCTCATCCAAAAAAAAAAAAAAAAAAAAAAAAAAAAACCGAATTGGAGGTAGGGATTGTGATTGGATATAGCGAGAGACGCGCGTACCCTGGAACGGCGGGGAGAGGAGAAGCACGAGCACCAACAACCACGCTACCGCTCCCAGCGAACCCCTCATTCTGCCACGTTGGATCCAACTCCGAGTCAGCGTCCGCCAAGTGCGCAGCGTCCTTTCCGAAGAATCGGAGTCATCTTGTGGCTCGCTAAGAGACTTCCGCTGCGAAAGCCGCGAGCTGATGTTGGTGCCGCTTTGAGTGTGCGGCGCAGGATTCATCATTGCACCGTGATGACGCGCCGATGTTTTTCGACTAGGATGATGCTGATAATGGGGCTTCGCCAGATTTAGTGTACACTACCATGAATGATCCGAATACATTCAAGTCGAACCGCGAGTGACGACAAGCGAGGCGCCTCCAAGCCTCGAGGCGCCCAAAGAAAAGCGTCTGCTGACGGTTCGTCCTGTTCTAAGTAACACCCGTCGTTTCTACAGCATGCTTGATAGAGTTACGTCCTACGTGGCATGCTGCGATCGGTCAACATGGACATTTGGCAGATCACGCTCGAAGGCAGGCAGCCCGAACCGCGGACGCGGGCGGGTCGCGTAGAACAACAAACACGAATCGCTTAGGATCGTACTCGATACACGCAACCTCGATAAGTTGAAAAAAGCAATGCTACTGGAGCATGGAAAGGCGGGTCTAGTCAGTCCTGCCTGGTATGACGGAGGCTCTTCTTTCTGCTTTGCAACTGTACCCTAAACGTTGTGCTTGGCCGTGGCTATGTGGTGGTCCTGACAGAACTTCCCACAAAAGATTGCCTCAGTAAATTCCTCCTAAGGCTACTGTATCTTAGAAGGAATCTGCTGAAGAAGAGTAGAAATCGGGATGGGGTGGGATGGGATGGGATGGGATGGGATGGGATGGGATGGGATGGGATGGGATGGGATGGGATGGGAAGAAATGAAATGGGTTGGGATGAGATGGGATGGGATATTTGAAACGTGTGTGGGACGGGATACGAGGACTGATGCTATGCTTAGGGTTGTGCTACTATGCTACACCTGATGCCCGTTTGAGTCCCCCCTACTTGGGTTGTGCTCTGGGCTAATAAACGTTTTGGTTGTTTCGCCCAGTTCGTTCCATTTCGCCAGGGTGTTGAGGTGCTTCTAAAAAACACAGGTTGTAACTCGTTTGTTTTTTCCAAAACAGTGCTGGTGGGCCTGTGTTGTTGTTAGTTCAGGTTTTAGGGGTTATGCTCGTTTCTGGCCAAGAAACAAGAACAAACCGGGTCAGCATGGTTTGTTTTGCGCCTAAGATTCATACTTTGGCGTTTTCTCGCCCAAATGCAAGTTGATCCGCGTGCCTATACCCTGGGTGCAACTGACCGGGAAAAAAAGCACGGGTGCAGAGTTTCTGAAATGTGCAAGGCAAATTCGCGCCCAGTGGTTGGGCATCATGTGTACATTCATTCTGGCGGACCGGCGTGCTTGACGGATGGCGGATGGCCCGTGAAAACTGTCTGGGATTCCCCTAGGAATCTAGGAGGTTCCTCTCGACGTCAACTCACACTCCGCAAACCGGCAACTCTGTTACAAGCGCTTTCGCTGTAGGTGAAATTTGTGGTATCGAGGGAAAACGACAGTTCATCAACCAACCAGCACGCGATGCGCCATGGCAGATTACACGAGGCGATGGAGGACTGGTTACCAGTACGGAATGAAGTTAGCGAAAAGCGTCGGCGATCCTAGCGAAGGAGCAGCTCGCTCGCAGTTGTCCACACGGATGTGTTCGAGCCATTCGGGGGGGGAGTTTCTACGTTGGGGCAAATAACGGCACTCGTAAAAGAACGGGCGAGTGTCGCCACTCTTAACTTTTGCAACCAGAAGCCTGACGGCAGTTTAGTCGTACAGATGTTACACGCCCTAAGGCTGGAAGCTTGGCCTACTGCATGATTGAAGCCACCGTAGTTATTTCATGCGTGCGCTGTAAATAGGCCACCTTACAGCCAGCTCCAGACAGCCATTCGATTTTCCATAGAGGCATCGATGGTCTAATCTCGTACGCGATTTATACAAGTATTTTTTAGGACCTTATCGGTGCGTGTCTGGGGTCACTAGCTGGCGGTCCGTAAATCGCGGATGTAAAGCATACACACTCCCGATGTCACGCGTACATTAGCAAATGCCGCCCATTCCGGTCATTCACACCCTCCCACCACATCAGTTATCTACTTTCGCGGGCAAGGCCGACATCTCGTCGCGCGCGCATCCTTTCCCCGTCCCCGCCGTCGCCTTCCCATTCCCGTCACCTCCTCCCCGTCGCCTTTCCATTCCCCTCGCCTTTCCTCGTTCTCACCTGCCATTTCCTCCCCATCGCCTTCCATTTCTGTCGCCTCCTCCCCGTCGCCTTCCATTTCCATCGCCACTCACCCCCGTCGCAGGGAAACACGTAGTCGCAGGGATGGTCGCAGTCGCAGTCGCAGCGCGCGACATCGCATGGCTGCTCCTGGTCGGCGCGGTCTGGGGGATCACGAATCCGCTCATCAAGCGCGGCGCCGCAATGTCGAAGCGCCACATCAAAGCGGACGAATCCGCCGCTGCCGGCAAAACTGCCGGCCTGAAAGCTTCCATGTCGTTTTCTGAAAAAAAGTTTTTCAGAAGCAGGAGATTCGTCCACGTGGTTACCCGCGATTGGCAGGTTGGTCGACGGGAGGGAGTAGGTAGGAGGCAGAGGTGCAGAGAGGTGTTAGCGGCATTCCTTAGGAGCTCCAGCCGTACGCGTTTAAAGCTTGGTGTGGGCTCGTGTTTCAATAGAGACTGGGAAACGTGAGGCCGACAGAGTTGTTCGGAAGGGCTGCTTCACAGACGTGCTTCGCTTACAACACTGAACTAAATTCCTGCTTCCCCTCATTTCCCCCCCTCTGCTTCCCCTGTTTCCGCCGCTCCCCCCTCTCGTTTTTTCCCCACCTTCCCCTTGTTTCCCCCCTTCCTTCCCCTCGTTTACCCCCCTGCTTCCGGTCGTTTCCCCTCCTGCTTCCGCTCGTTTCCCCCCCTGCTTCCGCTTGTTTCCCCCCTTCTTCTGATCGTTTCCCCCCCTGCTTCCACTCGTTTCCCCCCCTGCTTCCGCCTGTTTCCCCCCCTGGTTCCGCTCGTTCCCCCCCTGCTTCCGGTCGTTTCCCCTCCTGCTTCCGCTTGTTTCCCCCCCTGCTTCCGCTCGTTTCCCCCCCTGCTTCCTCTCGTTTCCCCCCCTCCTCTCGTTTCCCCCTCTTCTTCTGATCGTTTCCCCCCCTGCTTCCAGTCGTTTCCCCTCCTGCTTCCGCTTGTTTCCCTCCCTACTTCCGCTCGTTTCCCCCACCTGCTTCCGCTTCCCCCCCTCGTTCCCCTCGATTTTTCCCCTTATGCATACACCCTGTGAGCTCAACTCACACACACGTGTGAGCTCACGGCTCACACACGATTCTGTTCAGGAAACGGTTCAGTTCAGTTCAGGGAACGGAATCTGCCAGATTCTCCGCTGCTTCCCCGCTGCTTCCCCGCTGCTTCCCCGCTGCTTCCCCGCTGCTTCCTCTCTGCTTCCCCCGCTGCTTCCCCGTTGCCCCAAGACCTCACCGCGTGCATCCCTCCCTGTCCTGTGCATGCTTCCTCCTCCTTCCTGCACCCTGCTGGGCGCATCTCATGATTGACACACACCCGCCTCTCCCGTTGCTCCCTGCTGCTGCTCCCTCCCTGTCTTGCATGTCGCACTGCTTCTCGCATTCCACCGCTCTGCATCTCTTGAGGCGCCTCAAAAGTCGTTTTGAGGCGCCTCAAAAGTCTGCTGCTGCTCCCTCCCTGTCTTGCATGTCGCGATGCTTCTCGCATTCCACCGCTCTGCATCTCTGCCATCCATTCCTTTTCGCACGGCGTGCCGTCTCGCCCTTCATGCACTTTTCTTCCTCTCTCTCCATCCCTTTTACCTTACCCTCCTCGCAGTCCTACCCTCGCCCCGCTCTTCCCTTTCCTTTCCCGTGCCCCTCCTTTTTTCCTTCTTGAGGTCTCACTCCTTCTCTTCCTCTTTGCCCCCTCCTCCTCCCCTCACTGCTCCCCTCTTCTCTCTACCTCTCCAGCCCATCCCATATTCCAAGATCGTCGTCCCTTTCCCCCCCCCTTTTTCCCCCCCTCTTTTCCCCCTCTCTTTCCCCCCCCTCTTTCCCCCCCTCTTTCCCATCATCCCCTTTTCCCATCTTTCCCATCATCCCCCCCCCTCTCCTCCTTCCTATCATCCCCTTCCTCACTCTTTGCCATCATCCCCTCCCCCCTCTGTGCCACCACCCCCTCCCTCTGTGCCACCACCCCCTCCCTCTGTGCCACCACCCCTCCCTCTGTGCCTGAACCTCTCAGGCTCAGTCTTCTTCCTCGCCCTGAGGGGTGTGCATGCGTCTCTGTGGCTGTGCCGGTCAGCAACCTCTGCAGCCCCGCACCCTCATTTCCTCCCCTCAATGTACCCACCTATTCACCCGCCCTCCACCCCAACAGTACTACGTGCCTCTCTGCCTCAACCTCTCTGGTCCGGTCCTCTTATTCCTCACTCTGAGGGGAGTGCATGTCTCTGTGGCAATGCAGTGCCGGTCAGCAATAACCAGTCCCTTCCCCTTCACTCCCAATCAACACACCCCCCACCGCTCCCCTTTCCCCATTCCCTGTACTACGTGCCTCTCTGCCTCAACCTCTCGGGTTCAGTCCTCTTCTTCCTCACATTAAGAGGCGTGCATGTCTCTGTGGCAGTGCCGGTCAGCAACGGTGCCACCTTTGCCTTCAACGCAGCAGCTGGCTATGCGTTTGGGGAGAAAATACAACCAGCATTACCCGCTTCCTCCCCTCCCGCACGCCCTCCACCCCACCCCCACAGTACTACGTGCCTCTCTGCCTCAACCTCTCGGGTTCAGTCCTCTTCTTCCTCACATTAAGAGGCGTGCATGTCTCTGTGGCAGTGCCGGTCAGCAACGGTGCCACCTTTTGCCTTCAACGCAGCAGCTGGCTATGCGTTTGGGGAGAAAATACAACCAGCATTACCCGCTTCCTCCCCTCCCGCACGCCCTCCACCCCACCCCCACAGTACTACGTGCCTCTCTGCCTCAACCTCTCGGGTTCAGTCCTATTCTTCCTCACATTAAGAGGCGTGCATGTCTCTGTGGCCGTGCCGGTCAGCAACGGTGCCACCTTTGCCTTCAACGCAGCAGCTGGCTACGCGTTTGGGGAGAAAATACAACCAGCGTTGGCTTTGGGGGGTGTGTCGCTGGCTGTGCTGGGCATTGCCTTGTGTGTATAGCGAGTTATACTTTATACAAACACACACATACCACTACCATATAACTGCATGCTTAGAACTCATATGCCCCATCCTGCTTCACGCACCGTCGTCGTCATGTCTCCGTAAGTATCAGCACTCACTAGTGCCACTCGGCCCACCATACGCCCCCCGATACGCCTTGCGGGTGACGACAGTGAAATTGGGCACCGTGGCCTCTGCATAGGCATACAGCAGCGCACACACACAACCATATAACCCCCAAGTATCAGCACTCACGTGTGCCCCTCAGCCCATCACTCATCCCCATATGCCTTGCGTGTAATGACATTGAGCTTGGGAATCGTGGCCTCTGCATATTGCATACAGCAGCTTCACCCCCTGCTTGATGGTGTCGTTGTGCTTCTGCTGCATGCCTGCAATGGTGCACGGACACAAAAAGGCACACAGACATGTGTCAACGCACACAAACACGTGCGCATACATGAGTACATCAGCTTCACCCCCTGCTTATGGTGTCGTTGTGCTCGTGCTCCGTGTCTGCAGGGAAAACAGACACGTGAGGAGACACAGAAACACACAAAGACACAGAGACATGCATGAACGCACAGAACACACGTCCATAAAGCAGCTCTGCCTGGTGACGTGGTGCTCCTGCTCCGTGCCTGTACGCATGCATAGACACACGTAGACACAAATGGACAGGCAGGCATCAGTGCACATAACGCATGTGTAGCAATGAGTACAGCAGCTTCGCCCCTGCCTGCCTGTTGTAGCCTTTGTGCTCCTGCGCCGTGCCTGCAGGGAAAACACAAAGACACAGAGACAGAGACAGAGACAGACACAGACACAGACACAGACACAGACACAGACACAGACACAGACACAGACACAGACACAGACACAGACACAGACACACAGAGACAAATGTACGCACAGAACACACGTGTATTACTGCATACAGCAGCTCCGCCCCCTGCCTGCCTAGTGGTGTCGTTGTGCTTGTGCTCCATGCGTACAGGGGCAGACACGTGTGGAGACACAGAAACACACGGACATGTATAAGACACATGCATCACTGGGAGCAGCAGCTGTGATGCCGTTGTGCCCCTGCGCAGGGGAAGAGAAGCACACACACACAACACATGGACTCACATGGATGGACAGGACACACACATAAGACATTCTTATGTGTCCACCCGACCCCACCCGGCCTGAGCCCACCAGAAAGGGGGCGTGTCAGGTCGAGTCTATCTGGTCGGGTCAGGTCGGGCCTACCTGGTTGGGTCGGGTCAGGCCTAACTGGTTGGGTCGGGTCAGGCCTACCTGGTTGGGTCGGGTCGAGTCTACCTGGTCGGATCAGGTCGGGCCTACCTGGTTGGGTCGGGTCGAATCTACCTGGTCGGATCAGGTCGGGCCTACCTGGTTGGGTCGGGTCGAGCCCACCAGTGGAGTGGCGACCCTGCCTGGCCCCTCGGCCAAAACACGGGGTTGGGTTGGGTCGGGTCAGGTCAGGTCAGGTCGAACCGGCCTCGGCGACCCTGCCTCGGCGACCCTGCCTCGGCAACTCCTGCCTCGGCGACTCCTGCCTCGGCGACTCCTGCCTCGGCGACTCCTACTAGCCTATTATTCCTGCCAGCGCTGACGATCACGCAGCAGCAGCAGAAGCTGTCGCTATAGGCCTGGGCACCCTGCCCAGGCGACCCTGCCCGGGCGACCCTGCCCACGCGACCCTGCACCGCCTATTCCTGCTGGCATCTAAGACGAAGAAACAGCAGCAGCACAGTATAGGCCTGGCCTGGGCGACCCTGACTGTCGACTCCTGCCAGCGCTGACGATCACGCAACAGCAGCAGCAGCTGTCGCTGTAGGCCCGGGCGACCCTGCCTGGGCGACAATGCCCGGGCGACCCTGCCCGGGCGACCCTGCACCGCCTATTCCTGCTAGCATCTAAGACGAAGCAGCAGCAGCCGCTGCTGCGAACGGCAGCGGCGGCGGCATCCCCGCTATGGACAGGAGCGCTGCTGCTCCGCGAGAAGCATGAGACGCGGCGCAGGGAGTGGTGTCTAGAGCGGAGCGAGTGGAAATGGGTGGTGAGAGGCTAGAGGCGAGAGTAACGGGGCGGAATTCTGCTGCTCCGCGAGAAGGCGAGGGAAACGGGGCGTGGTGTCTGCAGCGGAGCAAGCGATAGTGGTTGGTGGGAGGTTAGAGGCGAGAGGGGGGTGGGCGTGGAGAGGGGCGAGGCGAGACTGGGTGGTGGGGCGGGAAGCGAGAGGGTAGGGTAATGGGGCGGGATCTTGCTGCTCCGCTACACGCATGAGACGCGGCGGCGCAGGGAGTGGTGCCTACAGTGGAGCGAGTGGAACTAGGCGTTGAGATGCGAGAGGACTGGGTGGCGGGAGGTGGGGACGAGAGGTGAGAGGCGAGGGTAATGCGGCGGGATCTTGCTGCTCCGCTACAAGCATGAGAGACACGGCGCAGGGAGTGGTGTCTAGAGCGGAGCGAGTGAAACTGGGTGGTGGGCGGTTAGAGGCGAGAGTGGGCCTGGAGAGGCGAGAGGGGAGGGTGGGCGTGGAGGGGCGAGAGGCGAGACTGGTTGGTGGGAGGCGAGAGGCGCGGGAAACGGGGTGGGATCTAGCTGCTCCGCGACGAGCATATGAGACGCCGCGCAGGGAGTGGTGTCTACAGCGGAGCGAGTGATAGTGGGTGGTGGGAGGTTAAAGGAGAGAGTGGGCTTGGAGAGGCGAGAGGCGAGGATCATGGGGCGGGATCTAGCTGCTCCGCGACTAACGGAGCTCGAGAGAATGCGTGCGCGCACCATCGTGGCGATTGGTTGTAGTCTGGGCGTTGAGAGGTGAGACGCGAGAGGCGAGAGGGGCGGGATCTAACTGCTCCGCGACTAGCATGAGACGCGGCGGCGCAGGGAGTGGCGTCTACAGTAGAGCGAATGGAAATGGCTTGTAAGGGGCGAGAGGGGAGAGAGGGCCGCGTGGAGAGGCGAGAGGCGAGAGGCGAGAGGCTAGGGAACGGTTCTCCGCGACGAGCGGAGGCCGTTAGAAAGCGCGCGAGCACCATGCTCTGATTGGCAGTAGTCTGTAGTGAAGCTACGGATCGGGTGATTGTACCGAGAGACGCCGAGCTAAGAATCTAAGTTGCCGTGACGGTAACGATGAAAATCGCGATAGTGGCGAGAAATAATCCGCAATGGTTACGAGTTTCTGCAAACAAACATCTGCGATATAAAGCTGCGCGTTACCTCAATTGTGAATCGCACGGTGACATCCTCTTCAGCCTAGTGATAGAAAATAATATGATTCCAGTTCAGAGGGTTTGTTTACGGTTGGCAGCAGTCTGAATAAAGTCTAAATCGGTTGGGTAAGTTACTGAGCGCATCCACAGATATTTATTTGGGAGACTACAGTTTGCACACGAAATCCTGGTGTTTCCATTCTTGACAATCCTTGGTGTTTGTCTGTGATGCTGCTGAAGCAAGCCCGTCTTCTTCCCGCCATTGCCGCAGCAGCCACGTCATCCATATCCCTCGTCGCGCCACGTGTACCACGTCAATATCATTCTCCCTGCAGTCTGTGGGACGTTTTCCAGACACAAGCTGCATGCTCCGTTAGTGTCAACCCCGCTAATAGCAGAGAGTGCCCTCCACCTCCGCGCCGCGCAACCCATCATCTTCCTCCACCTACAATGTCGACATCGGTAGGCTTTCTGACGTCAGCATGTCGTTACGCCGCTGCCGCTGCCCTTCCCCGCGCTGACGTCAGCGCGAGTCCCGCAGCAGACAGGACTGACGTCAGCCGTTTCGCTAGCGAAGTCGGAGGCCCAATCACGCGCCAGATTAGCAGGCGCGCCGCCGACGCTTCCGCCGCCGCTGCCACCGCCCGCGGCGACGCTTTATCGTTCAGAAGAAACGGCGCGTTTTCCGCGGAGAGCTGGACACGTGGCGCAGGTGGTGCCGAAATGCCTGCGTTTTCTAGAGGCGCGGGGGTCCGAAGGTTCCAGGTGGTTTCGCCGGTGTGCATGGGACGCCGATCGTCGAAAATCGCGACGCGCAAGGTGCGGAGGGCCGGTCAGTATCGGCGGGGAATGAGGGATCAGCGTGGTTGCGGAAGGGGGATTGCGGAAAGCGAGGGGGGATGGGCGCGCAAGGCGCGGAGGGTCGGTCAGTATCGGCGGGGAATGAGCGCGGAAAGAGGGAAATGGGGAATCGGGTGATCGGCGATCGGTGTGTTTTGAGTCGATTCAGAACGCGCAAGGTGCGGAGGGTAAGTCAGCATCGGCGGGGAATGAGCTCGCAAGGGGGGAAATCGGAGATTGGGGAAATCCGGAACAAGGGTTTGTGGGAAAGGAGGGTGAATGGTAGCGAGCATGGGCTAGGGAAAGCGCGGGAACACCTTAAATGCATAGGGAAGAGAGGAGGGGGGAAAGGGTGGGGGGATAAAGTCGTGTTTCCGAGCGCTGTAGGGGGGAATGCGCGGGAAATGAGCGTGCAGGGTGTGCGCGGAAGAAGACAGTAGTACGTATCTTGGAGTCTTTAGTCGACTCGAAAAGATCTGGAAGGATAAAATACATGCTTTGTGCAGCGAGCTGGGGTCAGTAGGGGAAGTCCTGAGCCGTCTCCAAACTTCGGAGACTCTGTCCAAACCGAAAGAGACCACGTAGGGGTCTATTTTTCAGTCGATTCAAACACAATATTTCAGCCGTCTCCAAACGTCTGAGACGTCCCAATTGAAAGAGGCCACGTCGGGTTCTGAGCGAGCTGGGTCGACTTTTGAGACATCTCAAAAGGAAGTTCTGAGCCGCCTTCTAACTCCTGAGACGTCCCATCCCAACTGAAACGGGCCACGTAGGGTTTTGAGATAGCTGGGTCGGGTAGGGGGTAGGGCGGTTATGTTGAAATCAGATTTGAGATTTCTTGGAAGTGATTTCAACATAGGGTTTTGAGATTGCTGGGTTGGGTAGGGGGAAGGGCGGCGGAATGCGCGTTTTGAGACGTCGCAAAACTAACCGCGAGTGAAGGAGGTGGGGGGAAGAGGAGCAATTGCGCATGGAAAGGGGAGATGAGGGACAGAGAGCGGATGGAAACGGGTGGGGGGATGACGGGGGGAACAGGGAGCCGGTGCTGGGGGTAAGGGGCGGAGAGTGAGGGGGTTGAACTGTGGGGGATGGGAGAGAAGAGGGATAGTACTATGAGCATTGGGAATCGTTGTAAGAGAGGGGGAAAACTAGCGCAGCAGGTTTGCTGGAATGGGGCGTTGGGGCTGGTGGGTTTAAGATTGTGGGTTTTGTGCATGGTCCTGTTTTTCTTTCAGAGTCCCGTGGTTACAGGGTTCTTCGAGTCGAACTTCCGTGCGTTTGAGGTTTCTGGTGGTTATTTCTGCAATACTTGTGGGAGGTTTCTGGGGGTTTAAGGTGTACTGACTTCTTTAGATCTTCCAGGGTTTCTCAGGGTTAAGGGTTTTGGAGTTACGAGCTGGGATTTGGAGTTGACGGCCCCCCGAATTCCTGTGGTGGGTGCAGAACGCACAGGATGCGCGCAAGTCGAAGCTGTACGGCAATCGTTTCAAAGTTACCCGTCAAAATTGCTCCCCTTTTCCCCCTTTCTTCCCCATCTCTCCCCGTGCCAAATATCTGTGGTGGGTGCAGAACGCACAGGATGCGCGCAAGTCGAAGCTGTATGGCAATCGTTTCAACGCCCATTCACCCCACTCTGCGCCCCTTCCGCCCACTCCCCCCACCCACTCCCTCCCCCCTTCCCTCTCCCAACATTTCTGCTGGGAGCAGAATGCACAGGACGCACGCAAGTTGAAGCTGTACAGCAAATTCTTGAGTTGTCCCAGCAACCTTGCTCCCCCTTTTCCCCTTCCCCGCCACCCCACTCCCCCCCCGCCAAATCTCTGTGCTGAATGCAGAACGCACAGGACGCGCGCAAGTCGAAGCTATACGGCAAATTCGGCAAGCAGATCATATCTGCGTGAGTGCAGATCATATCCGCGTGAGTGCAGATCATATCCGCGTGAGTGCAGATCATATCCGCGTGAGTGCAGATCGAATCAAATCCGCGTGAGCAGTGCTTCCAGCAACTCGGCGCTGGCAGCACTGCTCATGGCACTGCCAGGCCAGGTTTGGCCCTCCTTGTAGCACTGCTCTCAGCACCCCGCTCCTCAGCCTTCGTCTCCCACCTTTCCTCGCCAACCCTTCGTCTTCCCCGCCAAACCCCCCAGAGTCAAGGCAGCCGGCCCCAGCCCTGCCAGCAACTCGGCGCCGGCAGCTCTGCTTACAACACCCTCCCTCTTCCCCTACCCCTTCCCTTCCCCTTTCCCCTCCCAGTGTGAAGGCAGCCGGCCCCAGCCCAGCAAGCAACTCAGCGCAGCGCCGGTACCACTGCTTTCAGCCTCCTCCACCTCATCTCCGCTTCCCATCCCTTCACCCCCCTTCCCCTCTCTCCCAGTGTCAAGGCAGGCGGCCCCAGCCCAGCCAGCAACTCAGCGCTGGCAGCGCTGCTGGTGGCGGCGAAGCAAGGGGGAGTGCCCAAAGATGTGATTGATCGGAGGAACACACTTATTAACACCCCTCTCAACAATCACCTGCCCTTTCCCCTCACCTTCTCCCCGTCAACCCCTTTCCCCTCACCTTCTCCCCGTCAACCCCTTTCCCCTCACCTTCTCCCCGTCAACCCCTTTCCCCTCACCTTCTCCCCGTCAACCCCTTTCCCCTCACCTTCTCCCCGTCAACCCCTTTCCCCTCACCTTCTCCCCGTCAACCCCTTTCCCCTCACCTTCTCCCCGTCAACCCCTTTCCCCTCACCTTCTCCCCGTCAACCCCTTTCCCCTCACCTTCTCCCCGTCAACCCCTTTCCCCTCACCTTCTCCCCGTCAACCCCTTTCCCCTCACCTTCTCCCCGTCAACCCCTTTCCCCTCACCTTCTCCCCGTCAACCCCTTTCCCCTCACCTTCTCCCCGTCAACCCCTTTCCCCTCACCTTCTCCCCGTCAACCCCTTTCCCCTCACCTTCTCCCCGTCAACCCCTTTCCCCTCACCTTCTCCCCGTCAACCCCTTTCCCCTCACCTTCTCCCCGTCAACCCCTTTCCCCTCACCTTCTCCCCGTCAACCCCTTTCCCCTCACCTTCTCCCCGTCAACCCCTTTCCCCTCACCTTCTCCCCGTCAACCCCTTTCCCCTCGCTCCCAGTGTGAAAGCAGCGGGACCCAGCCCAGCCAGCAACTCAGCGCTGGCAGCGCTGCTGGTGGCGGTGAAGCAAGGGGGAGTGAGTGCCCAAAGAGGTGATTGGTCAACACCCACACACCATCAGCACCCCCTTCCCCTTCCTTTCCCCTCCTCTCGCAGAGTCAAAGCAGCCGGTCCCAGCCCTGCAAGCAACTCAGCGCTGGCAGCACTGCTGGTGGCGGCAGTGGCAGCTCTGCTTCCCCCTCCCTCTGCCCCTCACCCCACCCCTCTACCCCGATCCTCCACTACCACCCCCCACTCCCTGTCCCTTCCTTTCCCCTCCCCTGCCAGGGTCACGGCAGGCGGCCCCAGCTCAGCCAGCAACTCGGCGCTGGCAGCGCTGCTGGTGGCGGCGAAGCAAGGGGGAGTGCCCAAAGATGTGATGGATTGGAACACACACACCATCAGCACCCCCTTTCCCTCCCTTTCCCCTCCCAGAGTCAAGGCAGGGGGCCCCAGCCCTGCCAGCAACTCAGCACTGGCAGCGCTGCTAGTGGCGGCAAAGCAAGGGGGAGTGCCCAAAGATGTGGTTGATTGAAACCCACCAGCACCATCCCCCTCACCCGCCCCTTCCGCTCCCCCTCACCCTCCTGTTCCACTCTTCTTTCCGCTCCTCACACAGAGTTAAGGCAGGGGGGCCCAGCCCGAGCACTGCTGGTGGCGGCGAAGCAAGGGGGAGTGGTTTAGGACGCGATTGATAGGAACACGCACACCATCAACACCCCCTTCCCCTCCCTTTCCCCTCCCCTGCCAGGGTCAAGGCAGCCGGCCCCAGCCCTGCAAGCAACTCAGCACTGGCAGCACTGCTGGTGGCGGCTGGTCAACACCCACACACCACCATCAACACTCCCTTTCCCTCCCTTTCCCCTCCCCTCCCAGTGTCAAGGCAGGCGGCCCCAGCCCTGCCAGTAACTCGGCGCTGGCAGCACTGCTGGTGGCGGCTGGTCAACACCCACACACCACCATCAACACTCCCTTTTCCTTTCCCCTCCCTTTACTCTCCCCTTCACCCCCGTTTTCCTTTCTCCCAGGGTCAAGGCAGCCGGCCCCAGCCCTGCAAGCAACTCAGCACTGGCAGCACTGCTGGTGGCGGCTGGTCAACACCCACACACCACCATCAACACTCCCTTTCCCTTTCCCCTCCCTTTACTCTCCCCTTCACCCCCGTTTTCCTTTCTCCCAGGGTCAAGGCAGCCGGCCCCAGCCCTGCAAGCAACTCAGCACTGGCAGCACTGCTGGTGGCGGCTGGTCAACACCCACACACCACCATCAGCACTCCCTTTCCCTTTCCCCTCCCTTTACTCTCCCCTTCACCCCGGTTTTCCTCTCTCCCAGGGTCAAGGCAGGCGGCCCCAGCCCAGCTAGCAACTCGGCACTGGCAGCGCTGCTGGTGGCGGCGAAGCAAGGGGGAGTGCGCGCCCAAAGATGTGATTGGTCAGTCAGAACCCACCAGCACCATCCCCCTCACCCGCCCCTTCCTCTCCCCCTCACCCTCCTGTTCCACTCTCCTTTCCGCTCCTCACACAGAGTCAAGGCAGGGGGCCCCAGCCCTGCTAGCAACTCGGCACTGGCAGCGCTGCTGGTGGCGGCGAAGCAAGGAGGAGTGCCCAAAGATGTGATTGATCGGAACCCACCAGAAACACCCCCCTCTCCCTCCCCTTCCCCTCCCCCCATCCTCCGTTCCAATCCTCCCCTCCCCTTCTCCTCCCCGTTCCAATCCTCCCCTCCCCTTCTCCTCCCCGTTCCAATCCTCCCCTCCCCTTTCCCTCCCTTCTCCTCCTGTTCCCCTCTCCTCCCCGTTCCCCTCCCCGTTCGTTCCCCTCCCAGAGTCAAGGCAGGGGGCCCCAGCCCCGCCAGCAACTCAGCGCTGGCAGCACTGCTTGCATCACCCCCCCCCTCTCCCCCTTGTCCTTCCCTCCCAGTGTCAAAGAAGTCGGCCCCAGCCCTGCGAGCAACTCAGCACTGGCAGCGCTGCTTGCATCACCCCCCCCCTCTCCCCCTTGTCCTTCCCTCCCAGTGTCAAAGAAGTCGGGCCCAGCCCTGCGAGCAACTCAGCACTGGCAGCGCTGCTTGCATCACCCCCCCCTCTCCCCCTTGTCCTTCCCTGCCAGTGACAAAGAAAGTCGGGCCCAGCCCTGCGAGCAACTCAGCACTGGCAGCGCTGCTTGCATCACCCCCCCCTCTCCCCCTTGTCCTTCCCTGCCAGTGTCAAAGAAGTCGGGCCCAGCCCTGCGAGCAACTCAGCACTGGCAGCGCTGCTTGCATCACCCCCCCCTCTCCCCCTTGTCCTTCCCTGCCAGTGTCAAAGAAGTCGGGCCCAGCCCTGCGAGCAACTCAGCACTGGCAGCGCTGCTTGCATCACCCCCCCCTCTCCCCCTTGTCCTTCCCTGCCAGTGTCAAAGAAGTCGGGCCCAGCCCTGCGAGCAACTCAGCACTGGCAGCGCTGCTTGCATCACCCCCCCCTCTCCCCCTTGTCCTTCCCTCCCAGTGTCAAAGAAGTCGGGCCCAGCCCTGCGAGCAACTCAGCACTGGCAGCGCTGCTTGCATCACCCCCCCCTCTCCCCCTTGTCCTTCCCTCCCAGTGTCAAAGAAGTCGGGCCCAGCCCTGCGAGCAACTCAGCACTGGCAGCGCTGCTTGCATCACCCCCCCTTCTCCCCCTTGTCCTACCCTGCCAGTGTCAAAGAAGTCGGGCCCAGCCCTGCGAGCAACTCAGCACTGGCAGCGCTGCTTGCATCACCCCCCCCTCTCCCCCTTGTCCTTCCCTGCCAGTGTCAAAGAAGTCGGGCCCAGCCCTGCGAGCAACTCAGCACTGGCAGCGCTGCTTGCATCACCCCCCCCTCTCCCCCTTGTCCTTCCCTGCCAGTGTCAAAGAAGTCGGGCCCAGCCCTGCGAGCAACTCAGCACTAGCAGCGCTGCTTGCATCACCCCCCTCCCTTGTCCTTCCCTCCCAGTGTCAAAGAAGTCGGGCCCAGCCCTGCGAGCAACTCAGCACTGGCAGCGCTGCTTGCATCACCCCCCCCTCTCCCCCTTGTCCTTCCCTGCCAGTGTCAAAGAAGTCGGGCCCAGCCCTGCGAGCAACTCAGCACTGGCAGCGCTGCTTGCATCACCCCCCCCTCTCCCCCTTGTCCTTCCCTGCCAGTGTCAAAGAAGTCGGGCCCAGCCCTGCGAGCAACTCAGCACTGGCAGCGCTGCTTGCATCACCCCCCCCTCTCCCCCTTGTCCTTCCCTCCCAGTGTCAAAGAAGTCGGGCCCAGCCCTGCGAGCAACTCAGCACTGGCAGCGCTGCTTGCATCACCCCCCTCCCTTGTCCTTCCCTCCCAGTGTCAAAGAAGTCGGGGCCCAGCCCTGCGAGCAACTCAGCACTGGCAGCGCTGCTTGCATCACCCCCCCCCTCTCCCCCTTGTCCTTCCCTGCCAGTGTCAAAGAAGTCGGGCCCAGCCCTGCGAGCAACTCAGCACTGGCAGCGCTGCTTGCATCACCCCCCCCTCTCCCCCTTGTCCTTCCCTGCCAGTGTCAAAGAAGTCGGGCCCAGCCCTGCGAGCAACTCAGCACTGGCAGCGCTGCTTGCATCACCCCCCCCTCTCCCCCTTGTCCTTCCCTCCCAGTGTCAAAGAAGTCGGGCCCAGCCCTGCGAGCAACTCAGCGCTGGCAGCACTGCTTGCATCACCCCCCCCTCTCCCCCTTGTCCTTCCCTCCCAGTGTCAAAGAAGTCGGCCCCAGCCCTGCGAGCAACTCAGCGCTGGCAGCACTGCTTGCATCACCCCCCCCTCTCCCCCTTGTCCTTCCCTGCCAGTGTCAAAGAAGTCGGGCCCAGCCCTGCGAGCAACTCAGCACTGGCAGCGCTGCTTGCATCACCCCCCCCTCTCCCCCTTGTCCTTCCCTGCCAGTGTCAAAGAAGTCGGGCCCAGCCCTGCGAGCAACTCAGCACTGGCAGCGCTGCTTGCATCACCCCCCCCTCTCCCCCTTGTCCTTCCCTCCCAGTGTCAAAGAAGTGGGGCCCAGCCCTGCGAGCAACTCAGCACTGGCAGCGCTGCTTGCATCACCCCCCCCTCTCCCCCTTGTCCTTCCCTCCCAGTGTCAAAGAAGTCGGGCCCAGCCCTGCGAGCAACTCAGCGCTGGCAGCACTGCTTGCATCACCCCCCCCTCTCCCCCTTGTCCTTCCCTCCCAGTGTCAAAGAAGTCGGCCCCAGCCCTGCGAGCAACTCAGCACTGGCAGCGCTGCTGGTGGCGGCGAAGCAAGGGGGAGTGCCCAAAGATGGCGACTGATAGGTCAACACCCACACACCACCATCCCCCTCACCCGCCCCTTCCGCTCCCCCTCACCCTCCTGTTCCACTCTCCTTTCCGCTCCTCACACAGAGTCAAGGCAGGCGGCCCCAGCCCAGCCAGCAACTCAGCACTGGCAGCACTGCTGGTGGCGGCGAAGCAAGGGGGAGTGCCCAAAGATGTGATTGATAGGAATATTAAACGGGCGACGGAGAAAGGACAGGCAGATTTCACAGAGATTGTGTATGAGGTGCGTGAAAGTGTGACTGTGAAAGTGCGTGACTGTAAGGGGGAATGGGGGGGAGGGGGGGGGGGGGGTTGGGGGGGAGTAATGGAGCGGCAAGGGGGAGTGCCCAAGGATGTGACTGATCGGAACATCAAACGGGCGACAGAGAAGGGACAGGCAGATTTCACTGAGATTGTGTATGAGGTGTGTGAAAGTGTGACTGTGAAAGTGCGTGACTGTAAGGGAGAAGTTGGGGGAGAGGGGGTGGGTTGGGGGGGGAGGGGGGGGGGGGGTGGGGGGGAGTAACGGAGCAGCAAGGGGGAGTGCCCAAAGAGGTGATTGATCGGAACATCAAACGGGCGACGGAGAAACTGCAAGCAAATTTCACCGAGATTGTGTATGAGGTGCGTGTGAGTGTGAGTGCGACTGTATTGGAGCGTAATTTTTAAAGGAGGGACAGCGGAGAGGCAGGGGGGAGTGCCCAAGGATGTCATTGATTGGAGCATCGTACGGGCGACAGAGAAAGGACAGGCAGATTTCACTGGGATTGTGTATGAGATGCGTGTGTGTGCATGTGTGCGTTGCGTGTTGTGAAATATGAGTGCGACTATTGATGTGTGACTGTAATGGGAAGAGTAACGGAGAGGAGAGAAGCAAGGGCGAGTGCCCAAAGATGTGATTGATCGGAACATCAAACGGGCGACGGAGAAGGGACAGGCGGATTTCACTGAGATTGTGTATGAGGTGCGTGTGAGTGTGAGTGCGCGTGCACGCACGTGCACGAGCGTGCATGCGTATGTGTCTGTGTATATGTGTGTGTGGTGTGGTGTGAGGTGAGGTGAGGTGAGGTGAGGTGAGGTGAGGTGAGGTGAGGTGAGGTGAGGCGAGGTGAGGCGAGGCGATGTGAGGCGATGTGAAGTGAGTTGCGGTGAGGTGCGGTGCAGTGAGGTGCGGTGCGGTGAGTTGCGGTGCGGTGAGTTGCGGTGAGGTGCGGTGCTGTGGCATGTCGTGGCTTGGTGTGATGTGATGAAGTGAAGTCCACATGCACACTCCTTACTCGAGCACTTCTGACGTCACTACTACCCTACACATGTTCCTTTTCTCCTACACCCACTACTCGATACAAGAACTTAGGGCAACTTTGGGGTCGGCATAGTGGTGGGCGTGCTAACAGACAAGACTATCCACTTATTGCCAGACACATGTTCTCTACACTTTGTACTCGATATAGGGCAGATTTACGGGCTCGGAGGAGTCGGCATAGTGGTGGACGTGCTAACAGACAAGACTGTCCATTTATTGCCGTACCCATGTTCTCTACACTTTGTACTCGATATAACAACTTGGGGCAGGTTTACGGGCTCGGAGGAGTCGGCATAGTGGTGGACGTGCTAACAGACAACAACGCCCGGGCGGCAGCTACAGTGCGAGACGTGGTGCGCAAGGGCGGCGCCAAGATGGCTGATCCAGGCTCCGTGCTCTTTAATTTCAAGAGGTGCGCTCTTGAACTTCAAGAGGTGAGTTACTGATTCTGTCGATGTTTCCCTGTATGCCCGACGGCAGCTATAGTACTAGTGGGATGTGCGGTGGATGCCAACATGGCTGATCTGGGCTCTGTGCTCTTCAACTTCAAGAGGTGTGCGCTTGATTTTAAATTCTGTTTCTCTTTCCAGGATAAGGAAGAGTTTAAGGGAGGGTTTTCTTTGAAGGTGTAATTTAAGGAATCTGTAAAAAAAAACGTTTTCAATCAACAGTGGGGTTTCCTGTACGCCCGGGCGGCAGCTACAGTATCGGTGAAATTTGGTGTGGCAAGGAGGCGCCAAGATGGCCGATCCAGGATCCGTGCTCCTTAATTTCAAGAGGTGCGCTCTTGAATCTACCAATGCAATTTTTCTCAAAAGG